TAAAATAAAAGATCAATTCTCATAAATCTACATACAAAAGGAGTGTAAGAAAACATATTTACATATATTTACGTTCATATTGTCTAAATTTTTATATTATTAGTTAAAGCTGCTAAAAGTTTATATACATGTGGGTCCAATGTTGAAAGTAAACATGATATGTGATACGTAACAATATGGATGAAGGGAAAGGAAGGAATAGGGGAGACAAATGGTTCAAATTTATTATGCAAATGGATTTAATAATTTTTATTGCAGAATGCAGATAGCGCTTCTGCAATTCCACTGTATTATTTGTTCACGTTCGTGACGCATAAGAGGATTTTAATTGAGTTAAGGAAGCAATCGTTGGGCAGCGTTGTTCGGTTACGTTGTGGTTAGAGTTAGAAATGGATTTCATTTCAGTCAAAAGTTGTAATTAATCAGAGATTGAGAACATAGTTTAATTATTGTTAAGGTTAAGGTACTGTTTATTAAAGCGATTAGCGACCCCGTTAGAAGGAGCTGGAGCGTCGTAGTCCTTTATCAAATTAAAGTGTTCTGTTTTGTTATACCCCAGTCGTTTTAGTTTGGGGGATGTTGGTTTAGCAAATATTATTTTCTTATACGACGGAATCGAGGGAGAGGAAGGCGATACATGTGGGACAGGAGAATTAGGAGTATTCTGGATTTTTGAAAACTTAACTATATCAGCAAAAGATTTTGAAACTGCTTTGAAAACACTTTATTTGCTTCTGCGTAAGAAACACATTTCTGAGCCATAAACAATTTAATTTTAGTCTGCCGTTCATATTCTGGACACTTTCTATTTGTAGCAAAGTGTAGACCAGAACATAGACAGCAAGACGCGGCACCATCTTGAATGTAGCATGTGTCCCCAGTATGGCCTTGGCCACACTTGTAACAGCGGGGCCGAGAGTTACAATTAGACTTAATATGACCAAATCGGCAACAATAATAGCACTGAATATTGGGGTATGCGTAAAGTTCAACGGGCAGGGCATTGTAGCAGACAAATACATGTTTTTGGTAGGGTTTGACCATCGAAAGTTATTACAATAGTATGTGATGGCTTCCACTCAGGAGGGCTGCTGTTACGTACTTTATAATTTAGTCGTCTAATTTTTATAATTCCTCCGCTGCCTACAGGCAGAGAGATGTTGTCTAATATTTCTTCGGGAGACCATTCCGCGGGAACGCCTCGCACCAGGTCCATTCGGGTCACATTAAATGAGGGAATAACAGCTTTGTAATTATTTCTTGCCAGGCAAGGATTATTAATAAATTCGTTTGCACATATTTTGTGGTCTGAGAATGATAGGGAAATTCGGTTTCTGCCTATCCTAGCCTATAGGCCTCATAAAACGTTCGGCCTATAGGATTTTTTATGGACTGGGAAACGTCTGATGGAGGTGATGGGTGCTGTTGGGTATTAACAGTTGTAGTATCTACACGGTCTACTTTGTTCTGAAAACTATCTAGAGCATTAGCGTTCTTAAGCCCAGTATATATTGAGGGAATTTCAGTTTCCGGTATTTGGCACGAACAATCAGTGTCCTTTTCTTTGTTCCGACGCGTCGGATCGAATCTTTTTTTCCTTTTGTTGCAGTGTTTGCAAATTTTACCTAGTCGCATTCTTTTTCAGTCATTCCGTTGATCCACATCTGTATCTACGCTGGACTCGGCCAGTTTAGAAAATCTATTTTCTATGATAATATTACAAGCTACCTCGGGAGGCGAGCCCCCAATTTCCAGGGGCTCGTCCATTTTTTCGCCTGACTCCAGGCCTTGAGGAAAAAGTATACAAACTTACCAGATACTGTAGAATATATACACAAATGAATAAACAAAACTATTAAATTAAACTTCTACATACAAATATATACAAACTGATCTTTTATACAAGTTAAATTAAATTTCAAAAAACTCCCGCCACGACCAACGTTTCCCGCGCTTTTTCAAAAGTTTAGTTAGCCAACGTCAACGTTGGCAACGCGGTCCAGTGTGGCCAACTTGGGGGGTTTCACCCCAAATTTACCCCTAAATTCAAGATGTCCAGGGGTACTTTATTCATGATTTTTTTCTCTACAAACACACAATTCCATAAAATTTATATAAAGCTTCGAACGCAATCAACAAACTAAACCAAATATAAACTCTCAACTCTGGCTACAGCTTAAAATATATCGAAAAACAATAATTTCATGTGTCATATTTGTTCCTTCTGACCGTATGATCAAATCATTTAATGATTATGAATGATAATTTAAATTCAAAACGCAGCGCGATATCCAGGCCGATGCCTTCGACGAAATATTAGAAGCTTATCCCAGTGACATTTAATAATATTGTATTAGAAGGAAAAAAAGCACATTGAAGCAATTAGTTTTTTTATTTTAATTCTGTCTCGTTTAACTGTAACAGAACAGATAAAAAAGAAAGAGTACAAAAAGAAAACATAGAACTACTAGACCATCCGCTGTAAAGCCCCGACCTAAGCCCTAATTAATTTCGAAAGATTTCTATACTTTCCCTAAAATAAAAAATAAATTGCATGGTCAGAGATTTTCATCACCTAAGGAAGCTGTGGACGCCTACAAAACGGCTATTTTGGAGACCCCAACTTCTGAATGGAATGGTTGCTTCAATGATTGGTTCCATCGTATGGAAAAATGTGTCAAATTTCGCGGAGAATACTTCGAAAAGCAATAAATACATTTTTAAATAGTAATGTTGTGTCACTTCCTTGATTCCCGAAATTTTCAGTGCCGCCCTCGTACAACAAAAACTTAAAGGGTTTTTAATCGACATTTAGGGGTATTAGAAGTTGGTCCTATGGGTAACATTTTGTAGGAGTTGGCAACCCTGCCACGGTCCATAATCCATTTCATTGCATACTGCCATGCGATATAGTGGTGTACTTTTGCTCTTATCTTTATGATTTTATTGTGCAACTTGAACGAGTTACAACTCAAATAAAACAAAAGAGACGTAGTAACTAGATACAGCTTCTTCTTGTGAATCTTGTGAAATAACTAGCAATCTTTTGCTTTCAATTCCATTAAAAACTGCTATCTCAACTACCTTCAAAAATCATGAAATTTACCAAAAACAAAGTGAAGGTCTTAAGTAAGTTGGAAAAACGGCAAAATGCTCTCGCTAGTTCTGGTAATACAAACAGAATTCTAAAGAAAAAATTCAATGCAAAGAAAAAAGTTTCTTTTCCAAGTGCTGTTTTGATAAAAGAAATAATTCACAACGATAAGCTTGTTACTCCAATGTCAAAAGAAAAAATTGTTAAATCTATACAGAACAAGGCCTCAATTACAGGTATAAGAAGCCGTATAATAAAATTGAAACCAGTAGAAAAACAGAAAAAGCACCAGAAAATGCAGATAAATGAGACAAAGTTACTATTGAGTCTCATAAAAAAGAAAAATTAGTGTTTACCCTCAAATGCAATTGTGTTAAGTGAAAAATGTTGAACATTGAAATTAAAGAGAATTCCTATAAATTACTTATTTCTGCTAGTGTATATATTACCTTTTCTGTGTTTTTTAATTATATATATTAACTAGAGATTTTTTTTATAATTATGTAATACTTAGTACCAAGAAGAATCCCAGAATATTGAACTTAAGCTGAGATTTATATTTGATAACTGTAATAAATAAAAATTTAAAACCTAAATATTTTCAATTTTTTTACTTGATTTATGTCTTGGACACAAAATAAGAAATTAGCTATAATGTAATGCAATGATGTTTAAATATAGATAAAATTTTTAGAATTTTAATAAAAAAGAAAATCAATCTACATTTTATCTTTTATTAAATATGAATAACTAATTTTGTCTGCATAAATCAAAGCTTTATTATTTTTATTTAAAAAGTAAAAGTTCATACAAGATTACTAGTTGATGCATTTTAACATCGGGCAATACATTTCACCAACAGACGACAGTAGGAATGTGCAATGCAACACGTTGTTGTAGTTGGTCTTAATTGCAACATGCAGTACGTCTATAGCCCGCTTAAGGGTTGTTTTTCTATAAATATAAGATTTTTTGTTGACTTATGACCCTCGTTACATTACTTAGGCTTCGTTAAGCGATACGCACAATGGATAATGAAATTTATTGTCTAACGTGGTTTTGAAGAAATTGAATGCATTTATCTTTTATTTTCAGATAGAGAAAAATTATTCCTATTAATACTTAACATAATAAAGCGTATCGATCGTACCTATCCCGTTATCCATATGCACATCTCCACAAGACCTGTAAGTGCGAGTGAGACAGACAGATAAATATGATTTATGACCCGAAGCCTCAGTGCATAATGCGTCGACTATACCTACTGCTGTTAAAGATGATCATCAGATATAAATTCAACCTAAATACGTCATCTAAGGTGCTCTTACTTCTCTATTTTTAACAATTGTAAAGAAAATTCCAGAAAGTTGCTTGGTATCAGACTTGTTATTAACTTTTATGAGAGAATTTTCTGAAGGATTTATTTTCACTTATATACGTAAATTATAGTATATCAGTTTGATAATCTAAAACCTATTTTAGTCTATAAAAAATAAGTTTGCATATAAGGGATGCTTGTTTCGACAAAGCCACACATATAACTAGCATTTACAAGTTTTTAAGATATCTCGTATGACCAATATAGACCAAGAATATTTAATAGCTACTTCTTTTTTTTTATTTTGGTTGAAGTCCGTTAACTACATACTTAACATAACTCTATCCAAATAATTTTTTTAATAACATAAGAGAGATACTTGTTAATAGTACTAATTTGACAGAAAAAATTACAATGTAATTAGGAGACTGAAACCAAATATATTTAATTTCACATGAATTAAGTAATAATAAAAAAAGTAGCTATTGTAGTAACCATTTTATAAGTTGTCTCTTGACAGCTTAATAATAATTATTACAACTTTCTAGCCAACTAGATCTGCAAATGACTAAATTATTCTTAGTATTATTAATTCCTGCGTCGTCCACGTCCACGCCCTCTAGTGATACGCTTTGATAGAGGATTTTCGTCTTCTGACATTACTTCGCTTTTTATTTCGTTTTCTTCATCTGTTATTGTATTGTTTTCAACTTTTACTTTAGATACTGGCTGTTCATCAGTATCTTCCTTTTCTATGTCCTTTTCGTTTATCTCGGCTAAGGCATCTTTATCTAGAAGCAAAATAATTAATGAATAGTATTATTAATAGTTTATTCAACATAATTAATCTTAATGAAGAAATACTATATATTGTATGAAGTTTTTATCACGGCACAAAATATAAGCTAATAATATGGGATGATACTATATAAAAAGAAAAACCCAAATTTGCAGCCACAGAATTAAGCCAAATATGTGAAAATATATGGCAGTTTGTAGTAGTAGTTAGTTGTAGTATTACAATAGCTATTATAATATAATAAGATTTTGTTTTTGATAATTCGGATAAAATTTTCAGAGTTCAAACAATGCTAATTATTTAATACTTTTTTTTTCAGTGTCAGTCATAGTGCAAAATATTAAACTCACCATAGCCGACTGCCTCAAGTAGCTCGTCAACACTCTGCACCCAGTCTTCGAGATCGTCGGCTTTTGGTAATTTCGAAACGCCAATAGCCTATCCCTCCATGTCGGCGTCATCAGCTTTCTCCTCTATAAAAAGATTTGGGTAATATAAAAATTTCATAATTATAAAAGTTAGCAGGAATATTTATTTCCAATGTTCTTATATGTTAAAAATCTCTGTATTTCTCAACTTAATGACATACACTTAGCCAGAAATTTTAATTCTTACTTAAATTATCATATTGTAAGAAATTACAGAAATGTCATATGTTAAGTTTGCTATTTATGCCATTTTACGTATAGTCTTACCTTTGACACTAGCATCGTTATGGCCATTCTCAGCCGCTTCCTCGGAATCGTTTGGCTCTGGAGAGGTCTTACGACGCTTCCAGTTGCCGGACTCCTCTATGTTGTAAGGACGCTTAAATGGCTCGCGGGTTTCTATAGTCTGCTGAAAGCCTTATTTTTTAGTATTTTATTTAGTGGTAATAATTAGTATAAAATAAATACATTATACAACATTATTTTTTTGCAAATTGTGAAATACATAAACATTTGACATCGGAATTCAATTACATTTTCTTATATTCTATCTGGCCCACAATTCTGTACCTTGTTTGTTTAACTACTAGTGTAGAGTAACAATCACTCAAAACATACGCAACTATATTCCTAATGGTGTACACACTCAATCTGAAATACTCTTATTCCAGTTTTAAAATACATAAATTTTTAAAATTTAAAGTTTATAAAATATCACACAAGTAAAAGAAAAGAGGCCAAATACAGATAAGTTATGTTTTAATTGAGAGTCAATACTATAATTTTCTTACTTCTTTACCACTCTTCTCATTAAGTAACCTCACGAAAAGCTGGTGGTGCCTTCAAGTACGAAGATATACTTCAGCAGTTTCCTCTGAGTCAAGGAGCTTCTTGCGGAGTTGGCATTGGAAGCATTTGAATTCCGAAAGGAATAAACGGTCCACGCCGCGTTCAGTGCTGGAATTCGAAATAATACATAATGATTTTAGTTACAATAAGCCTCTTGGTTGTGACCAAGAAGCTAATACTAAATTTTTCCAGGCTTGTAGAGTTTTGAGTTATGCAAACTGACACATTATTAGCATTTTCTTAAGAGTAAAAAAGAACCAAAGTTGGTTGTATGTTTGTGTTTAGCTACCCAATTTATTTTACTATGGTTTCCTGAGGAATCAAACAGCTCTCTGGCGAAGAAAGAAAGATAAAAATAAAACGCATCGGCAAGATCCATAAATCTATGGAAACTTAAAAAACTAAGTTTGAACAATTGAGTTAATTAAGTACTGTATTTATCTGCTAAACAAACAGTAAATTTACCGATTAACTAGATAATTTGAAAATTATTTTTAGTAATTGTTGTAAATGTACCTGTCCTTCTTCTACTTCTTTTTCTGCATTATTTTTTCCCTTGTCACCCATATGCTTCCGATTGCACTGGCGATCTCTATCGTCACGGAGGTATTGTTGCTCTGCTTGCAGGTTCGAAATCATCATTACTGAAATAGAAATTTCTTTTTAAAGAAAAACTACATAATTATATTAAATGTGTAAATGATTTAGGGACTTTAGGGTCATAATTTAGCTGTACATGTAAACCTAGGTCAAAAAAGGTTTTCTGTTCTCTTCTATTAGTAATTCTTTAGTAGTAACAATTCACATTTTCTAAGAAATTATTTTTTTCTAATTGTCTATTATAAATAGTACTGGCCAGTTTTCAGGTCACTTAGTCTTGACCATTGTTTTACTTGGCCATCAGTGCTAATAAAGCCTTACCTGAATCACCAGCCTCAAAGCGGCGTTGCGCGTCTCTACATAGTATATTGCATCAATTGCGAATCTGTCTGTATTCTTCCCCAAGCACTTCAGATTTGTTTGCCTGGTAATTGGCTTTTAAAATCTTTTTCTTCTCTAATAATAACTTAATATCGTCTGTAAGCTATGGAGCTGGATGGATTTTCTTTTTGTTACCTGTCAAAAAGATACCCTCCAGCTTGCTTTTAAAATATTATTCCAAAATAATTTCTTTCAAGTTTGTACACGCAAATTAGGGCCATTCAAATAGGTTACTAGCAGAATATATATTGAGTTTTATAGATTTAAAAAGATATGTTTTAATTCCAACAGAAAATACAAGCCCAAAATAGATTATTGCACAAACACTGCATTAAATAAATGGCAAAAAATGTAGATAGCAGAAATATTTTAAATTTTATGTAAGTTTTTTCTAATAATTAATGTAGAAATAAACTCAAATTAAAAATACATTATGCTTTGGCTTCTAAAAGAACTCATTAAGGACAAACATAGGTTTATTTAAGAAAAAATGGACAGCTTACCTTCAGGTTTCAGCTTTCCACTGACATCTTCCTTGTCCTGTATCATCCTAAGATGTTCTGGAGTCAAACGGTGCTCATCCAGCTCAATCTAGTAGGCATTTCCTTATGACAGGCAGTGCAAGTGGGGTGTAGATATTTCTTCAGCTTGCAGTGGCTGACGGTGGTGCAATGACCAGATTCATCTGCTGCATATATATCACACAACGCACAGTAGAAGTCGCGCGTCGGGTGCTGTCCTGATTTACGGATGCGTTTCATGTCGCGAATCTGTAATGTTATAATTCTATGTTACGTTTAAATAATTGTTATGATTATGTTATAAACTGCTCCATGTTAGTAAATTGTAGTTAGTTATAAATAAATAAATTATTTATCCCTTTACAACAACAGATTATTATTACATAATAAGTACCTTAAACTCCTGCCTCATAGTACCTGCAGTCAAGGCATAGCTCTCAACTGTCTTCTGCATCATGATGGAGTGAGCCCGCCCACTTAGGTTATTTTCAAAAGATCTTCCATCCCATATACTCTTGCTACAGATATGGCACATTAATAGTTGCTGATTAAAATCATCATATCTGGTCTTTTGACTGTCTTCTCCTCTTCCACTTTTTCAGTACCATCAGACTTCTCATTTTCTTGTTCACTATATAAAACTTTAGTGTTTTAAATATGTTCAAGAACCTTGATGTAAGTTTTTTTTTTTTTTTTTTTTTTTCCTTTCTTGGCCTGCACGGTTTGTGCGTCAGCCATGTAAAAAAAGTTAGGAAGTGCGTTGTTAGATTTATTTTATTGGATTAGAAATTGGAGCGGAATTTGGAAAAGGATCAGATAAATTTATTATATAAGTACATAAATGGTTATAATTTTATATTGTTATGAAAAATAAAACTGGCTAAAATTCTATATACATCCATATTTATATTAGATAATAGGACAGAAATTGAAGTAGGAAAAGGAATTTTAATGGATAAAAGTGAGGAAATAAAAGCGGAACGGTCATGTCGAGTGCAGGCGAAGAATATATGATTAAAATCCCCAACGTCATTGCCACACTCACAAATATCGTTAGGCAAAATGTTAAGCCTTGCCAAATGCAAAGGAATGCATGCATGGCCTACCCTCATACGTATAAGGGTCGAAGTGATAGCTTTACCAAGCGTCAGATTTGAAAACCATGGTTTAGAAGGTATATCCTCCTGAATCGTGCTGTAATATCGACCTTTAGTCTGACTTGAAGAACGCCAAATGTTTGTCCAAGAATTCAATAACTGGGATTTAGGCAGGAGAGCCAAATCACAACAAAAATTTTTGTACGGAACCAGATCTCCGTCATTGACCGCAGCTTTGGCAAGGCTATCGGCCTTGGTATTGCCAAAGATACCTGAGTGCCCCGGAATCCAAGCAAAAGAAACTGTGTAATTTTTGATGCAACATTGATGCAATAGATCACGACATGCAATAATGACTGGATGATTATTTCTGTTATTGCTAAAAGGAAATCTTTCCAAGGCTTGGAGGGCACTTTTAGCGTCGGTTAAAATTATTGAGTTTTTTAACTTCATTATTAAAATGTACTCCAGAGATTTCAGCAGACCAAAACATTCTCCAGTAAATACTGAAGTCTCTGGAGGGAATTTTATTTTCTGTACAATGCCAAACTGTTGATGGAAAACGCCAATTCCCACACATTTATCGGAGCCGGGTTTGGAAGAATCACAAAAAATTAAATGGCAATTTTTCCATCGGTTGTCACTGTCAATAATATTAATAAATTTGGCATTGGCAGAAGGATCTTGTCTACATATACCGAAATCAAATAAAATAGAAGGATTTAATGTTAAGGCATCATAGTTAACACAAAATATAGGAAGGAATTGTGATCTATGTGTTGGAGCTTCAAGAGCTAGGTATTTTTGGAGACTAATAATAAGGCATGGCGGCGATTTATGAGCCCAGTACGGATAATCCATACATTCCAACAGAGACCGTAACTTAGAGTAAAGAGGATGATTAAAGACTTGGAATGCTCTAAACAGGAACCTGTCACAAAGAAATTGTCGTCTGAGGTGCAGGGGAGCTTCAGAACATTCGACCTGCAAAGCGTTAATAGGGCTTGAACGCATAGCCCCAGCAATTATTCTCAGAGCCTTAGACTGGATAATGTTTAACTTATGGAGAGCTACTGTATTACAGGGTTCAAGTATAAATGTTCCATAGTCTAAAATACTTCTTATTAGGGCATTATATAGAAGCTTTAGAGAGAAAGGGTGGGCTCCCCACCAAACTCCAGAGAGGCAACGCAATATATTTAGAATCTTCTCACATTTGGCACTTATATATTTGCAATGAGAGCTTCCTGTAAGTCTTGAGTCTAAAATTACTCCAAGAAATGTTGCTTCACTTTTAACGGAAACTCTAATATTATTATAAAATACAGACACTGATGGAGGAAGTCTCATACGTGAAAATAAGACTATCATACTTTTAGCAACTGAAAGGCTTAGAGAGTTATTGTCAAGCCAGACTTTTAGCAACTTAAGGGAATATGTCATAGTATCAGACATGTTGTCAACAGAATTACCTGAGATATATAAGAGTAAATCATCTGCATATTGGAGTGTATTAACTTTACCCTTAAGGGAGGCTTCCAGATCATGAGAATATATATTGTAAAGTAAGGGACTCAAAACCGAGCCCTGGGGTAAACCTTTCCAGGCAATACGGGATTGGTAGGAGCCTTCTGATATTACTTTAAGCATTCTACCAGAGAGAAGATTGATAGTGAAGCTTATAAAAAGTTGTGGGATATCCAAATTAATCATTTTTTGTTTCAGAGTTGAAAGGTTGACATTATCATAGGCTGCAGACACATCTAAGAATGCTGCTAACACAGGCTTATTGTATGAAAATGCTAATCTTAAGTCTGTCATAAAAATACTGAGACTATCCATAGTACACCTGCCTTTCCTAAATCCAAACTGGTTTGGAGATAGTAATCCTTTACTCTCAACAAACCATTCTAGTCTATTCTTAACTAAATGTTCAGAAATTTTGGAGATAACTGAAGCTAATGCTATTGGTCTGTATGATGATGGGTCATTAATCGGTTTGTTGGGCTTATGTATTGGTATAACTTCGTGAATTTTCCATGACGGAGGTATATTACCAGATGTTAAGATTGAATTAATTAAACTGAGAAAATAAGAAAGGCAGGAGTCATTTAGGTTTTGAAGAAAAGAATATGGAATTCCATCACAACCTGGGGCTGAGTCCCTAAGTTTTGAAAGAACCCCTTTGAGTTCTGAAAGGCTAAAGGAAATGAGTGAATTGCTATTATGCTGGGAGAGGAGAGAAGGCTGAGAGTCAAAAGAAATATTATCTATAGATGGGACATATGGTGGAGCTAATTTGTCAAGAAACAAATCAACTGTACTGCTATCCATAAAATGAGACTTTGGAGGTTTAAAGGCGGATCTGAATCTCCGAATATTTTGCCAAACTTCAGATGGAGAAATGTCTGGTGAAATTGAGGCACAAAAAGATTTCCAGCCATTGAATCTTTTTTTGTTTTAATAATTTACGTGTTTTAGTTATAAGATTGCTAAGAATATTAAAATTTTGTGTTGTAGAATTTTTCCTGTAATTTCCTTCAGCTCTCTTTCTCTCAGCTATAGCAGCAGAACACTCACTGTCCCACCAAGGAGGTGATGGAATATAACCATTGCCACTATTACTTTTAATTGGAAAAACTTCATCAGCAGCCTGAAGTAGGGCCCGTGTAAAAGCTTCAGCACAAAGATGATTATTGCTGTCATTTACTAGAGGTATGGATGATAAATTTTGTTGAGCTTTATCTCTAAATAATGACCAGTTGGCATCCTTAAGTCTATATTTTAGCCGTGGAGGAGCCTTTGATGTTTGTTCTCCAATTTTTTGGGGAAATGATATAATTAGTGGGAAGTGATCGCTTCCATATGAAGAAGATAGAGGCCACCAGTTTAATGTAGGAGCAAGGGAAGGACTACATAGGGTAAGGTCTGGTGCACTCATACCCTCATGGGGCTGTGTCCTTCTAGTAGGACAACCGGAGTTTAGAAGGCATAAATTATTATTATCTAAGATGTCTAAGATTCTAGCCCCATAATGATCGGACTTAGAACTTCCCCACATAGTATGTTGTGCATTGAAATCTCCCATGACCAAAATAGGGCGCGGGAGGGAAGATAGAATGTTACAAATATCGTCAAAAACTTCAGTGGAAGGGTGAGGTATATACATATTTACAATACAAATATTATTTACACTAGCAGCAATAATGGAAAATTTATCACTGTGATTAATGATGGGTATGTGAACAAAGGGCACACCTCCTCTAAGAATTAGTGCAACTCCACCATACCCATCTGTTCTGTCTTCTCTAAGACAGATATGTCCTGGAATTCTAAAATTGAATCCGGGACGAAGCCAAGTCTCTTGAAGAGAGACGGCAAAAGGTTTGTAATTGTTTAATAAATAAATGAGGTCACTTTTTTTTACTATTAATGCTCCGGCAATTCCACTGAATCACCAGAGACTGGTTTTGTGGATGGTCTGTGTGACTGTCCATGATTTAAATAAGTTTTTGAAGAAGGGGCATTGTTGGTCGGTATTTTAATTATGTCAGATTGTGACAGGTACTGAATTATAGAAATGATGAGATCCTTGGTTATTACTTCTGACAAATCATTGTAGTTTTTAAGACAACCTGTAGAAAAGGAAGGAATATTGCTATAATCTTGAATAAGCTCTGCATGTGCTTTTTGATCATATCCCTTACTAACATTTCTGGGACGAGTTTTGGGTTTCATGAAAATTGTTTTCCTAAATGACTGAGTGGGAGTGTTAGAAGGACTTGTTACATTATAGGGGCTGGAATACTTAATATTCGGACCAGAAGGGGCCGATGAAGCAGAAGCAACAACGTCTGCATAAGATTTAGAAACTGGTGGATTGGCTTTACTGGCTTCTGAATAAGATATAGCCTTTCTAGCCATTGTTTCTTTAATTGATTTTTGCCTAGCGTACTCTGGGCACTTTTTATCTGTTGCAAAATGGGAACCAGAACATAAGATGCACACAGCATCATCTCTTTCAGTCTTGCAGCTTGTACTTGTATGGTTGTCACCACATTTGTAACACCTTGGAGTGCCTCTGCATTGCATTTTGGTGTGACCAAAACGGCAGCAATTAAAACATTGCAATGTGGGGTAAATATAAAGTTCTACGGGTAAGGAGTTATAACACATAAAGACCCTGGGAGGTAATACTTTCCCATCAAAGGTTAAAACTACGGTCTCTGTCGGAATAAACTTGGGAGTCTCACCTTCATACACCTTTCTGTTTAGTCTTCGAACCTTTAAAATGCTTCCACAGTTCTGCGGAAGCTCAATATTTTCTAAAATGTCTTTCTCGTCCCATTCACATGGAACACCTCTCACTATTCCCATGCGGGTGATAGTGAAGGCAGGAATAAATGATTTGTAATTATTAACATGAAGAGATTTGTTGTTTAAAAATGTGTTAGCATCTTGAAAAGTTTCGAATTGTAAGGACAACATGTTCCTGCCAATTTTTTTTATGCTGCCCTCTACAATGCTTTTTACACAATTTTTTTTTTTAGGAAAAATCCAAAATGTACAGGGTGAATTGATCCGGTTTGATTTGTTTGTAATATTTTTTGGACATGGACAACATAAGGCGCTGGGTCTGACGCCTGGTAAAGCGACCTAGCAGCGCGAGGGTTACTTGGGATATTATTGGAGTGAGCAGGTTCATTATGGTGGATTTCAGTTTTATCATTAGACTCAAGCACTTTAGGAATAACATTGTCTTTTGAATTATTAGAGGAAATTGTCTTCTTTAGATTTCTAACTGAGATTCTCTTTCTTTTAACATTTTTCTTGCTTTCCGAACAATCTGTATCTATAATGGAACCTTCCGTTTCCATTCCCGACTGATCTATTGTAACTACATGAGACACCTGGAGGGATGTCCCTCCAGGGTCTTCAGGCTCCAACATGGACACCAAGTGAAAATTCCTATCTACATATAATACAATTAAATTACTTACCAACCAGGCGAAAGAAACTAAAAATATAAATAATCAACAATAACTAGTAATATATATACACTCTACAACTTAACTGATCCTGTAATATTAAATTAATTTAATTTTCAAAAGTTTAGCCAAAAAAAGGCGCCCGCCTAATTCAACACTTCCGCGCTTTTTTATCTGGGGGGGGGGTTGTGGGGTTTTTTTTTTTTTTTTTTTTTTTTTTTTAAAAATTAATATTTTTTTCCCCAAAAATCCACAAACCCAAAAAAAAAAAATATTTTTTTTTTTTTTTTTTTCCTTTTTTTTCCTTTTTCCTTTTAATAATATTTTTTAAATTTAAAAAAAATTTTTTTTTTTTTTTTTTTATTTTAAATATTAAATTTTATAAACCCCCCCTCTAAAAAAAAAAAAAAAAAAAAAAAAAAAAAAATTTAAAAAAAACCACCTAATAATACATAATGGGGGGTTTTTTTTTTTAAAAAATTTTTTTTGGGGATTTCCGCCGTTTTTTGGGGGGGGATAGGGGGGGGTGGGGGGGGAAGGGTTTTTTTTGTGAAAAGGGGGGAATTTTCGATTATTTATTAATGTAGCTTTGTTATAAGTGTGTGGTTGTTTTTTTTTTTTTTTTTTTTTTTTTTTTTTTTTTTTTTTTTTTTTTTTTTTTTTTTTTTTTTTATTTTTTATTTAAATTTTTTTTTTTTTTTTTTTTTTTTTTTTTTTTTTTTTTTTTTTTTTTCTTTTTTTTTTTTTTTTTTTTTTTTTTTTTTTTTTTTTTTTTTTTTTTTTTTTTTTTTTTTTTTTTTTTTTTTTTTTTTTCTTCTTTTCATATACAAAATAAAAAAAAAAAAATATTTTTTTTAAAAATTCCTTTTTTTTTTTTTTTTTTTTTTTTTTTTTTTTTTTTTTTTTTTTTTTTTATTTTTTTTCCTCTTTTTTTTTGGTGTTTATTTTTTTTTGTGTGGTTTTTTTTTTTTTTTTTTTTATTTGGGAATTTTTATTTTTTTTTATTTAGTTTGTTATAAGTGTATAGATAATTAAAAATAAATGTCGAAAAACCTAGTGCCGTACAAAAGTGATGGTGCCGGAAGTCGGTGCAAATTTTTAATTCGACGACAGTTGCAGGAGCAATATAGATCATTTATTACTGTACGGCATTTGTGTCATTCCTTTTGGACACATATACAGATACTTTACCCGTAAACGCCGTACATATTTCCAGCGGAGCGGGCGAAAGCCAAGGGTCGGAACCCTACCCCTACACCCATATACCCTAAGGTCATTGTAAAATGTACGGCAACATGTTCAAAATATTATTTAACACGGACAATAATGTTTTATAATTATGCCGTCCAAATATTATAGTTAATATTTGTGTAATTAAATATTTATCGAAATTTCAGGATTTACCAAGTTCTTACTGCTGTAAGATCAGAGAATAATGTACGGCAACTTGTTTTTTTTTACATAATGTTACTAAATATTACCGTTGTACATTATAGCCGTTCATTATAAATGGTAACAAATAAAAATATTATGATAAAAAATATATGAAATTTCCGAAATTTAGATGACTTTTCAAATGCTCCTAGAGTAATATGGGGAGTAATATTTTCAAAGATTATTGTTATTTTATATGTAACAAATATAAATAAACAAAAAAAACCAGATGCCGTACATTTTACTCCAGATTATTCTTTACAGCTGATAAAAACTTCGACGACGTTTGAGGTGTCCCTTAAGGTCATTAATAACTGTACATATCTGAGTATACTACCATAAGGCTGTAAAGTATATTTACAGCCTTATCGTACCAGCAGAGAGAGGTAAAGGAAAAATATTTTTAACAAAAATATATATAATACAGGGCGTCCCAAAGTTATGAGACATGAAGGGAAAGTACCTTAAATATCGCTGATAGGGTATTTTACTAAAAGAAGACTTTATGTTATTTATAAAAGTTAGTAATTCTGCATTCAAAGATTTTTTTAAAACTACTTGCCTCGTCTGGAAATCGAACCGGCTTAAATTAAAAAAAAAAAAAAAAAAAAAAAAAACACCCCTACTTTTATGATGCCAATCGAAAGAATGGCCAAAACCTAATAACTTTTCTAAAGTACGTCGTATATCTACGATATTTAAGGTACTTTCCCTTCATTTCCCATAACTTTGGGACGCCCTGTATTGGTAGGCGGTGGTAGCGGACTATCGAAAGTGTACGGCATTTATCTTTTATTGAAGATTGTCTAAAGTATTAATAACCTGTGTTATTGCCGTACACATAAAAGTCACCGGAAAATGACTCTTTTCTGAGAAAAGTAATTTGCCCCATACACCTATGTGTTCCACAAAAAATGTACGGCATGCTGGAAAATGTTATCTATTTGTGAAGTACTCTCAAGATCATTTAATTTTATGTTGATTCATATCATCATCACCTATATGCTAATCAGACATATGTTGCGACCCTTGGCTTTCGACCGCTCCGCTGGGAATATGGACGGCGTTTACGGGTAAAGTATCTGTATATGTGTCCAAAAGGAATGACACAAATGCCGTACAGTAATAAATGACCTATATTGCTCCTGCAACTGTCGTCGAATTAAAAATTTGCACCGACTTCCGGCACCATCACTTTTGTACGGCACTAGGTTTTTCGACATTTATTTTTAATCATCTATACACTTATAACAAAGCCGTACATTAATAATTAGTCGAAATTCCCCCATTGTACATGAGAAAGTCCATTCACTCACGTACTCACATGTACCGCTCAGAAATGACGGCATAGTGCTCAGAGCTATTTTCAGATATAGTAACAGCCTTCTAAGCGTAATTCACGTTGGGTCATTTCACAGGTATTTTTTGTTCATGGGCTTGTGGTCTATTAATATGAAGAATGCATTTAACAAAATTTATGGGCATTGAAATTTTGAGTATCACATTTGACATTATAGACTCACTTACTATATATCTGTATTCTGTGTTATAGATATAGAATACCACTGTCCACTAGACATATAGAGTAGGCATAATATACTAGGGTACTTACTAGTTACTACCTAGTACATACTACATACATATTCCTTTATTATTAATCACAGAGTACCTTTGTTTATATAGAAAGTATAAATTGAAAGTAAATAATATAGGTTAATTCTATACTTATTAATACTTTTATATATTATAAGCGAGACATGTTTTCATGCAACAAAATCCAAATTATTCTACACTAATTGTGGTAAATATTTTCAATCTTTACATTGTTATCTACAAAGCTTCATTAGCTATTAACACTAATGTGTTGACAATCTTGCCATCACTCAGAAATACCGCGATTAAAGTTTGCTTAATTAAATGCAAAAAATATTTCTTTATTTCAAGTGAAAGTATTTTTCACTAATCAGTTAAAATAAATATTTTCTATCTTGGATTGTTTGTGTTTATGTGCGCATACTCAATGATGATTTGGACAGTCATTCCCGAAATATAAATATCACAAACCTGCCACCGTGTAAAGTGTAAACAGTTCATCCGGATTCCCACCTCGAAATCAAAATGAAAATTACCGTGACCACGCTTAACGACGACATCTTTATTCTTGATGTTTCTGAAGAACTGGAACTAGAAAACTTTAAGGCTTTCTGCGAAATTGAATCAGGATTTCCCGCGAAAGATATCAGTCTAAATTTTAATGGTAAACCTTTACTTGACGACAAGAAGTCCCTCAAAGAACTTGGCGTTAATGATGGGGACATCATCATTTTAATCCATCTGGTACAATCGGCTTCTAATTTAAATAATCGCGATGCCAACCAAGGTAAATATTAAATTCTTTTCTATATTAATAAAATTGCTTTGTCATGTCTCTTTGTCACAAATGTCATTGAGTGATGCTTTATCATAATTTACATGCATACTCTATACTATAAACTATTAAAAATATGCAATTTGACAATATGGCAAAACCATTATTTTATGTCAAAAAAAATCTGAATTTTAATTAATTTCAATGAATATAATTCTAACTCCCTAGCAATCCCATCAAATTTGGCAAATCTAGACTTTAGTAGCATCAGAGTCCCATCAAGTGCGGGCACATCAATGGCTTCAAGAGCAACGCCTGTAGAAGAGGATCCTCGAGTTATTAGAGAAATGTTTTTGGCAAACCCAAATGAGATTGCCTTACTTAAACAAAACAACCCTGCCTTAGCTGATGCTCTCCTAAGTGGAAATCTTGGTAAGTTCAAATCTTTAAAAACCACCAAATTGATGTGTAAAACTTGGTGTGTTTTAACTATTCCCTTTTACAGACACATTTGCTTCTGTTCTGCGTGAACAAATAGCGGCAAGGACAGAACGGCAACAACAGAGAATCAGGTGTGTAACTAGACTTTCATTCTTCACCATTACACATAACTACTTATTTCTTCCATTTCTGCTTCACAGAACAATCCTTAATTTAACTTTATAAGACCACAAATATTATATAGATTTTTTAAAGCTTTTAATTGGTATGTAAAGCTGTAAAAATAAGCTTAAATATTTTCAGAATGATGAACTCAGATCCATTTGATACTGAAGCTCAACGGATGATTGCTGAAGAGATACGGCAAAAGAACATAGAAGCAAATATGGAAGCTGCTATGGAATATAATCCTGAGACATTTGGAACAGTTGTTATGTTGTATATCAACTGCCATGTAAATGGGTAAGTGAAAAAGATGATAATATTTTATATTTAGTTCATTTAACCAGTGTATTGCAATGTCACATAATTTTAACAAAGTTTGTTTGTATTTTGTCGCTGTAATGAGTTTTTTTTCTTAAACACATTCTACTAAAGTAAATCTTATGGCTGCACTACAGCGAATCATACAAATATACAATGTGAACTCTATAGTTATGCTGATAATTATATTTTGGCATTATAGGTATTTCTTGTGATATGGAAAGAAATATAGTTTTATTATTATTGTATTATTTAACAAGAATATGATAACAAAGTAAGTAACAATATGATAATAAATAATAACAGCTTAACAACAGTCTAAACCTGAGGTAAACATGGGCAAAGTAATCACAACAAACAAGTTAAAACGTGAATTATAACTTTTTTGTTTTAATGATGCCAAATAAAGGTCAAGTAGAAGTTATGCTGTTTCAGTTTTTATAACTATCTCCAACTGAGAAAGTACCTGCAAACAGTAGATGCTTAACAAGCTACTGATATTACTAGCTTTATGATGAGTATTGATATATTGCGGTTGTTATTTAAGTATAATGAAAAAAGCAAACCATCTAAAGTCACATAATTTCGATATTTCAGTTTGACATTTAATAGACAGATATTACATGGAGTTTACACTGTATGTGTATTATAAATATATGAAAACTTAATAGAAGAAAGCTAACTCTTAAAGACTATTTCATAAAATATTATATTATATTACTATAGAATGTTACTTAATGACAAAATATAATTAGACGGCAACCTACTTTTTATACCTCATAAAGTGCAATAATTGTAATTGCATCCTAAAATATTGCATCGTTAACTAGTTTCACTGTATATGGCTACTTGGCTATTCTGATTGTTATTGATTCTATTTGTTTTAGATTTCCAGTAAAAGCTTTCATTGATTCTGGCGCACAAACTACAATAATGTCCTCTGCTTGTGCTGAACGATGCAATATAATGCGCCTTGTTGACACAAGGTAAGTAGTAGAAAGGAATAACCTTTATTGAAAATTATATATTCATAGAGTAGACTCATTACTTAGTTTTTTGGTTTGTGATGATGTCTTGTTATATCTATTCTGTTCATAAAAATATAATCAAAATCCTAGCTTGCTTACATGTTTACTCTTAACTACTTTATGCTTACTTAAGATTTTGTCCTGCATTAATATGTATATTAATAATTTAAGTATAATTAAATATATGATTATTATCATAAACAAAACAGCTCATTCCTTTGGTTGTGAGTAAATTATCTTGTGGGTTTAGTGCATTAACCTTAAAATCTATAAAGATATTTTTCAATAACATGCACTCAGTCTAAATATAGCTAGTCTGCATCACCTTCAGCATTCTTTTGAATGTTTTGGCATCTTATGTAAAATTATACATGCCAAATCTATAAAGAGTTTTAAAGAAAACAAACAATTTAATTTCCAAATTTTTGTTTAATAATAATAATTGCATATTAATTATTAGTTTTGTATTGGGGTTTATACAATTTTCTTTTTCAGATGGGCTGGCATAGCGAAAGGTGTTGGTGTTCAAAGAATTATAGGACGTATCCACATGGTCCAAATGAGAATTGAAAAAGACTTTTTGACTACATCATTTTCTGTTTTAGAAGAACAGCCGATGGATATGCTTCTAGGCCTTGATATGCTTAAGCGGCATCAGGTATGTTTGTCTAACTTTAAATTTATCTATGTATGCATTTAATAATTGAAACTTTTATTAATAAACCTGAAAAATCATAAAATATTTTTTTATTGAGTTCTGTTTTACAGTGTTATATGTATATTTTTAAAAAGAACAAATATTGTATATGTTTAAAAACTTTTATAAAACAAATATTCCACTAATAATGTTACATTTTTTATTCTTGTGTATGTTTATATTATATATATTTTTTAATTGATTTTGCTTTGTAGTGTAATATAGATTTGAAGAGGAATGTACTTGTTATTGGTACGACTGGTACTGAAACGCCGTTCCTCTCTGAATCCGAACTACCAGAGTGTGCTCAATTGGTTTCTGAAGACGAAATTGTCAACCAATCATGTCGCGATCAAAAGGACCGCGAAGGAAAGGAGGCAGCTGAGAAATCCAAACAAGGTGGTAGAGGAAAAAAACGAAATATTTAAAATTCCAATGAACTATAAACAATTTACATAAAATTTGTAATCCATAAAAATAGTAAAATACATACATAACAATACATCTATTATACATTTGATATGCTCCTGTGCTCTTTATTTTTCAGTGACTATTTTTATACGCAACGGATTTTAAGGCGTTTAAATTGTTAAAAAAAAAATTGTGTGGTCTACATTGGGTGGGTAGTCATGTTTGCGTTTCTTAGTCCAGCTGAAAATTTTGAATAATTCGTCATATGGGGTGGGTTTTAGACCATTCTAGGTTGGGCACGTCCCACCCGGTCGACTTGTGTTTTATATGTACATAGTAAATCTATACAACGACACTCAAGGGACTTGCCTATTTTGACGTTACAAAGGGCCGTTAAATGGAATGAAAAATCTGTATTAGAAAAAGCTAGTTTATTTCAAACTAGTGTTAGTAACTACAGAAAAACAATCCGTATTTGAACGCTATTGCGTTGACTGTTATTTTTGTACTGTACCAGTAGTTAGGTTATTTTTTTACTTATTTAATTCATACCTTGCGATATTGAGGCATCTTCGTGATAAAGCACACGCAAGCAAGCGCCATTTGTAATGAAAAAAAACAGATTTCTTGGAAAGTTTGGTACGTATGACGATAATGCTATGTGGAGTGTATCATTGTATGAAAGACATGCTAAACCAACCAAAGCCGAATGATTTCGATGCTTTAGGGGGTTTGGCTAATTCGAGGGACTTTAAATGAAGTTTACACTGTATATATTTGTATATGTAACATGACTATGCCAACCAACCTTATAAATATTCTATGTTTACCACAAGACTCCATATGTATATATCCTATACAGCTTAACCTTACGTCATTATTATTTCCTATTGGAACCGTTTAGTGATACAGTTTACATGAAGCTACATATGTGTATATGATTACGTTTTCACGCACGCGAAAGGTAATTATCATATAATAATTAATACCACGCATTTATTCATGTAGAAAGTAATAGATAATGTAGCAATTTTTTTACTTAAATATCTCGTATACACATTAAGCCATTGTATATAGTATATTAATAATTAAATCAGTCGAATTAAAAAAAAACTTTAGTATTGGTCGATAGTCATTATTTGCAGAAAACCTAATAGTTTTTTACTGAATTACTTCCTGTCATTAACTTAAAATAGTGTAATACGACTATATATGAGAAGTATTTGTTGGAGAGTATCCGTCTTGTTCATAAACGTATAAAGCTCAGTTAATTTTTTGTCAAGTTTGTAAATTGACGCGGGATGTATAATCGCGGTAAAATAGGTTCGTAAATAATGTGGGGACTGCAAGCGAACCGCATGTCACGTGATTAAACAACTATGTACATACTATAAATGGAATATTTTATTACTGTATGTCTTGTTCGTTTATGAATAGGAGATCTACGATATACAAAATACTGCAAATAGTTTATATTTTACTAAACATTTACAGAAGCGAGACAAATCCAAAGATCGACTTCGAGTGGTTCGCCCTCAACTAGTACGAGAGTTGGTAAGATGTTCACACAGATTATAACAGTACATATTTAAAATAAAGAGCGTATCTTTTTCTAAATTTAAATTTTAGAACTGTCCTGACGATTCGTGCTTTCTCGACGTGTTAACACGTTATACAAGTTGAAATGTGGATTAGTTATAAAAAATATTTTTGATATGTTCTATATTCTTTTATTAAATTATAATATAGACCCTTCGACAGTATATGTGTCACAGCTTCAGATAGCATGCTTCTTTGATAATTTTTTATAGCAAAGTAGGATCAGATGAGACTATACACGTGTTTGTCACGATTTTACCCTTCACCGTACAAGATAGTGATAAATGCGCACATTTAAAGTTCAATCGCTGCACAGCCTGGACGTGATCCTATGCCTTCAAGATTAGTTGCACTCTAACTAGGCCACTGGTCAATATTTGTTTCTAGTCATTATAGCACAGGATATTTTTCAGGTCTGGGTGATCCAAGTCAAACGATCCTGCCCACAGACACATTTCGCGAGACTGATGTTGAGGAAATAGTTAACCTCGGTTTTACTAGACAGCAGGTGTATAATATTTATATAGTAATTATGTCATCATTAAACTATTGACTATTTTGGTATATTCGCCCAGTATCTATATTTTTTTATATATAATTAAAACAGTATCTTACCAATTCGTTATATGTAGTATGTTGTAGTTTTAAAAATCTAGCCCGAAGACGTATACAAATTTTTCACTTTAAACAAAAATGCTTTGAAGATAAATAATAGTATTATTGGCAGTCTAGGTACTATATCATATAAAAATATTTTTTAAAGCAAAGACGTTGTCATTTCGCTCGCTCGAATAATATGGCATAGCTTTTTTGAGAGCGGGTTACGAAATCTTATACCTACAACGTGCAGATATAAAAAAATGAAATGTCATTGTTTATTTTTGTAATTATGAAATAAAGTTTTTATAGTTTAATTTAAAAAAAAAGGAATTGTGTAATTTTTTCATTAATTCTATTTTAATCGAGATTTCGTTTATATTTTTCCCGCATTGTAGTATAAAGCAGGGCATTTATCGCTTTCCCATGGATGTACCTACAATTTATATGTGTTTTAACCGTTATGTATTTAAAATTGGAATTATTCCGACAACAGTTGTAATTATTTATTTTTCTAGGTTATAGTTGAACTTCGTCGATTCAACGGAGACAAAACACAAGCTACTGTGGCACTCTTCGCTAAATCTCTCAAATTTTGACCGACGTCACTTTGTGAAATGAAAACCATAATTAAGACCTATTTTAAAAGGCTTCAGAAAACTGTGGTGTGTCCCCTTATTACTATTAGACTCTATGCTTTGTAATAAGAAAAATTAATGCCTCACCGTTTTGTTCACTTTACTTTGGTATTTGGCCGGGGATAAAGTTTATAGATCTGCTATATATAATTAATGATTTTTGCGTTTACTATAAACAAAGTCATATTTTCTACTCTGTACTGATGCCTGGAAGAGGTCTCCTCTTGTAAAGAGTTGGCGTGTTTATTTTATTCAGAAACGAAGTTGAGAGTTGAGAGAAGAGTATAATGTTGAAATGGTAATATAATTGTACTGGTATACAACAGACAAATATTTTTTAGATTGCAGCAATGTTTTGGAGCATTTTTTTTATAAATACTTGTATTTGAAAAAGTTATTTTAGATATCCTTATCGTTTTATCGTACCGCGATCATCATCGGGCCTTGGTTTATATTATATAAAGAATAAATTTTTACTGATTTCAGATTGTTAATGCTATTTATTCTTAATTGTATAAGAACGAGAATTTAGATATTCAACATAATTTGTGTTAGAGTTCTTAGGTTTTGGGTAGCGAAGGCATAAGGATTTTAAAGTGAAAAAAAATCGCATGACTTAGTATATAAGTTTTAATATTTTATTTCTGACTTTTTAAGTCTCACAGAAAAATGGTGTTTAGTTAAGTTTTATAATGCTTATTTAAAATTTGGCACTGCATTAATTTAATATTCGTCGCTTACATTTTGATTTTAAAATATCCTAGATTTTTTTTTAGTTTTAACAGTGACCAAAACAATAAACATTGTAAAACTGTGCAAAGTAATACCACTAGCTTAAGTTACTAAATTTCGGGAGTTTCATCAAAGTACATATTCTTTATATTTTTTATGAATATAGAAATAGTGTTTAATACACCATGATATCAACGTAACAATACTTTCTAATTGTCAAGACTAATTTGAATAAATATTTGTTCAGCTAAAAGTGTTTTTATTATCCGCCTTTGAATTGTAAAAGATAAGTATTTTTTACTTTTATTTATTTATATACACTTCGTTGCAGTACAATATAAACATTAAACTTAAATGTAAAGGAGGGCAACTGGCGGACTTATCGTTTTCGAGCGATCTCTTCCAGGCAACCACTGTGAGAAGAAAAAAATGTATTAAATTAGATAAGGTAGGCAAGAAGTGCAAAAATAAATATTACTATAGTTATTAGAAAGAAAAAAAAATCTTATTTGATGTTAGCAATTTAAATTTTTTTAGCTGGCTTGGGGTTAGACGTACTGTTGTCAGACGAACTTGACGGGGGCACTGACATGCCAGAATTATCAAGAAACTAAAGTATTTCCGAACCACTTCCAAGTCGAGCGTACCAAGTCTTGAAAGGCCGCTTAACATCAGGTGAGCCTCCTGCCCGTTTGCCTCCTATTACATAAAAAAGTGTGTCTGTGATTTCAGAAGTGAAACTTCTGTGGCAAACTAATATTTAAGTGTTGTTCATATTTATACAAATCGAAAAGTTTAGATTTCCTTAGAGGGACGGAAAAAGAAAGATATGTTAGGAATTTAATGAATTTAATTGTCATTAAAATATTAAGTGTCGAATAATAAATAAATAAAGAAGTTTGACTTGAAAAAGCAACATGGCGCATAACCGAAAAACGTGACGATTTGCTACAAAATTTCTCCCATACGTGGATAAACAAGTTTCACTTCAATAACATACTGGAATTATAGACCAAGACCGATAAAATGTAACATTTTTAAAACCATTGCTTGTTGTTTGAGGTCCCGCACCCACCTAATTTGGGAGGGGGCAGTTGACGCGGTTTTAGGACAGCTGTTTAATCTTTCCCTACCAATTAAAATAATTTGGTATATTTCACAGGGATATACCGAGAAATCACAGAATACGGGACTACCATGTGGCGTCATCCACTAAGGCAAGGTTATTCGTGGTGGTCAATTTGCTTTATATTTTTTTGTAACTAAGGTATATAAAACATATACAGGTGATAGAGCAGTGATTAACCGAATTCCTAAGTGGTTAATCACTAACTGCTCTATCACCAGTTACAATGTTTTGGTACGCATACAAAAATCAGATTTTCTGGGGTAAACCACTACTTGCGGTTTCGGATGGACGTTGATAAGTGGGACTTGTATATTGTTTGTAATAATATTCAAAAGTTAATTAAAATGTTTTTATTTATTACAATGTATACGAAATTGCCACATTTATTATAATAAATATTGGTATAATCTGGTATAACGCTGACTTGATCTTACATTAGGCAGTGTTTATAATATGGAAGTATATCGTATATGGAGTTATATAATTTATATAAAAAGGTTTTATTTTACTTAAGCGTAACACTATTAGCTCACATTATAAGGATACATTTACACACTAGTTCTGTCCCAATGTTTATAAAACTACGTTAATCATAAATATATATTTCAATTTATATAGTTGATTAAATATTTCTTATCAAAGAATATCATAAATAAATATCACGACGCTACAGCCGGCATTAGCATTCGTCAAAACATATAAATAACATAGGATGGTGCTTCAAACCACCAACCCTTTTTATGTAATTAAACAATTTCGTCTGCCTCTAGTCCGTTAGTTACAAGTTTACTGGACATTGCTGTTAAAATGTCAGTTAGCCTCGCAAATCTTTGATTGGGTGTGGTCAAAGCACCTCTTTCGCCCCACAAAAAGTTTATATGAAATTCTGTACGAAACAATTCGAGCAGAGAAGGATCCAACGTGGAACCTAGGGAAGACAATTCTTGTACCACAGTTCTGGCGTTTCTTTTGAACATTTCGACTTGGTTCGGAAAATGGCGCGCTGCATCGAGGTGAGCTGATGATGCGTTGAAATCAAATTCTAAAGTGTTCATTAGACTTCCGGGAAATGTGTCGTCTGCTTGTAAGAGACCACCGCTATCCCCATCTGTAATATACATTTTAAATATATTTGATTAGCTGTCTCTATCATCTTTTAAAAACGACCTAAGCATGGCTTATTAATCTTATACCTAAGCCAGTGCTTAGATTTCTATAATTTTGCGTTATAAGGCTGCCTTGCATTGTTAAATTGTCTGCCATTTGCAAATATGTACATCGATGAAAGTGTTAAATAATAAAATAAACTTACCGAATATGTGAAAACATAAAATTGGTGGTACAACGTAAGGTGTTGTTGTGTTTGGAGGTAGTGGATTGTTTCCTTCATTCATACTTTTAAAACATGGACGTAATTTTGCTTCAAACATAAAAGCATTGTCAGTATAAACACGTCTTAAAATATTCCAAGCGGTTTCTAATCGCTCCACCTGCAATGTAACATAATACGCGGTAATTATAATCGAAATTGTAACAACTAAATGTTATGTAATTTTTTTGTACCTGAGGCATACATAATCCAAACATGATTGCTGAAAACCCATACAGATTTCCCAAAGCAGTTTTAGTCTCGATTGCTAACAAAATCCAATCGTTTATAATATCAGCTCTCTGGCGATCAGTTTGACACGTAAGTATAGTCACAGCAACGAGAAGTCGGAATGTTTCGACTCTGAAAACAATGAACTTTTGAAAACAAAATTATTAAGGAATTTATATTTGATTAGTATGAAAAGTAATAAAATGCCACCTTTCAATTATATCCAGACGTAAATTTCGCCCTTGTGGCAAAAAGCATAATTCTAGACCCGATGCTGTTTTATTTAAACCCTCGATCTGAACCGCGTCGTCTAATAGAAAATGTAAATCGATCTTTGTCAAGTGGTTCGCTAAAATGCGGGGCCCGGATGTCCTCAGGAGTAATTTTATTGTATGCAATGTTTCTGACTCTAAGGGCTTGTTTAAGCTTGGAGATATTATTTGAGACTGGAAATTTTCGAGATTAATCCGAGATTCAACGGAATAGTCCAAATTTTCTAATTGAAGTAATTTCGCTTCTGTCAAATCGTAATCAAAATGGTGTTTCATTGTTGGAGTCGTTGCGTTATAATCAGAATCCACTCTGGATTTACTTGGATCACTGTGGGCAGAACTTTGTGTGGAGTCTCCAGAACCATTACCTGAATCCGACCCTGATACTTGGTAGAGTCTTTGTAACTCCAAGCGCCTATCATCAGCTTTTGGCCCGTCATATCTAGCAGGCTTAGCGGGAGGACTTGTAGGAAGATTAGCATCCCATGTACTTGAACATGACTCGCTCGAAAATTTAACTAAATGCTTATTAGTTTGTATAACGCCATCGGCGCTTGCACTCTTGCCATGGTTGATGTGTTGAGTCATGTCGATAGGTGTAAGAGAATGAGAGCGTTGCTTTTTAAAAGGTACTCGTAATTGCATTCCTGGTTTCGATGCAAAATGACTATATAAACTGTATGGATTTCCATAGTTACTTTCTCCAACTGGAGATACAATTGGATTTGAATCTTCGTTTGTAATGTACGTTGTTAAAGGGACTATTCTGTTTGCTGGGTATTGAATTCTAGCCCCGGAAGCAGCTGATATCGGCTTTCCTGACCCTACGTAAGATGTTATCAGGTCAGCGACAGTATCATATGCTTCATCTTCAAACTGATATTGATATCTTTCATATACAGTTTCTGGATGTACTACAATCTAAAAAAGGAAGTAAATTAAATTGTGTTTAAATGTATTTTATCCCACAGTTGATTAACCATACCCTTTGTATGACGAAATGTAGATGCTGGCCATTAGATCTACAACTAAGTACATAGTTATCGGGTTGTGACGAGGAGTCTCTGACCAAAAACTGTCTATCTTGCTGCAGCGAATTTTCTGCCGCTGTTCGACTTAAGGCGCCGTGGTACCAAGCATGAGAAATTATTTGATCAGAAGGTAAAGAGAGTTCCCATTCTAACAAACCCGACGTTGTCATTGTATCCTAAAAATTCGATATATATTCAAACTAATTTATTTTTGCAATGCATGAAAATGACAAAAATAATTTTTTTACAAGGTATATGTGCATTTTCCTTAAATAATAATACATCATAAAATTAAATCATGTTAATTTCACTTTCGCATTCGCCGCGATTTTTATAATAGTAATTATTGTTAACTAAAGACTTATTTTTGCAATATTGTTGTAGGTGCTTTGGTTGTTCCATTATATGAAAAAAAAAACAATACGTACATACCATTATATGCACTGCGTTCTTATTATTTATTTGAATAGGCCACCTAGACTCGCCCGCGTCTCACTCTGCGCAAGGCAGGGTACCGGGTAATTGTAAAAATCAATAAGTTCGCGGCACCCTTTCCTGCTGTATGTTGGCAGTTAGTATACATTACGGGGGAGCTTCAGAGCCCACAGAGTTAGAAACAGATTATAAATTGTGCAGAATGTGTTAGAATACATAGTTAACTTTTATAGAAATCATTCTTATTTTAGGGTCTAACCTTTTATTTAATTCTATTATATTCCATTTTCCGAGTTATTTAATTATTTTTTCTCAATATACGCTTGTATAGTTACGCCATTTTAAATTTTATTCTAAAAAAAGGAATAGTTGTCTATGACTAGGTGCAATACTGCACTTAAATAGAAAAACAAAGTTTGGCTACAGAAACGTTGATCCCAGTAGATGGAATGGATCTTGAGCATATATTGAAGTAAGTCTTTTTATTACTGGATATTTATTCTGGAGTAAAGATTTTTAATAAATTATTTTATGACAAATTAATATATTTTTTTTCATATTTAATGTATGTTTTTAAGCGGTTAAAATATTTCTTTGTTCTCTCTACATCGAACTGCGCACTTTGATTTAATAAAATAAAACGTAGCATTAAATTTGTAAATTTCTTTTTTCATTTAAATTTTTTCTATATTTAATTCTAAAACTAAGTTGCATACTCGACTCGGAAACAAAGCAAATGTTTAAGATATTTTTCCTGTTAATTTTCATGCACTATACGCCAATTGCACAGAAAATATACAAAGTGCTTCTGTGGCGAAGATTCGTTGTCGCCTACCATTTAATTCTAGGTACATAACGCATGACCTAGGCACGTATCTGGAACTTAGGTATTGATTATTGAGCACTCGTTGCCCATAGCAACGTGGGCGTTTACCAACAGGAGGTCGGGTTGAAAGGGGTGTGGGTGGAAACTGTTCGTAATTTTCAATGAAATAGTTAGTTTCATCTCGTTCGTCTTATCATACAGATATATTTAATAATGTCGTTCTTTTTCAGTTGGCCGTCAACTCCTGAGGAAGAAAACTTCCTAAATGCGATCCTCGAGTCTTTGATTAAATACGACGACGATGGGGCTCGCTTCTATGATGCCGAGGCGATTGTAATGGTTATGCATCGCATCTGGGCTTGACAAGGAATGATAACGGGTCCAATGAACTCTAACAACGCAGGCAGCAACAACAATAACAGTGGCAACAGCAACGGCAGCAGCACCTGCAACACGGATAATAGTGCCCCGGACTCGTCCAATGGACCTTCCACGTCGAGTGGACCTTCCACGTCGAGTGGACCTTCCACGTCGAGTGGACCTTCCACGTCGAGTGGACCTTTCACGTCCAATGGACCTTCCACGTCGAATAGACCTTCCACGTCCAATGGACCTTCCACGTCGAGTGGACCTTCCACGTCCAATGGACCTTCCACGTCGAATGGACCTTCCACGTCCAAGGGACCTTACACGTCCAAGGGACCTTCCACGTCCAATGGGGCCTCTTTTACGGCAAAATAATACCTAAAGGATTCTGTTTAGATATGCTTGTACTCTTCTTCGCTTAGTCCGCTCTATTATAAATCTGTCACTGTTTGAATTAGATTCAAAATATAAAATTAAATGTGAAAAAGTGTTTTTTTAGCCCTTTGAAATGAATCTGCATTAAGGGCATATTCAACTCATTATGTGTGAAAGTATTTTATGTTGTCATTGACTTGTTTTTTGTACCGTCGGCTTTGTTGACTAATACAACTATTAATTTCTTTAACTATTATGAATAAATCCAAGTGAAGTTTAAAGGTACCTTTACCACTACTACTAATGAATTGAATATTCCCTCAATCAATTTAAAAAACCTTAATTAAAGTTATCAATAAAGCGTGTTTTGACCATACTAAATACAAACAAAAAAGTAAAGACAATTGAGGTAATGTAATTCCTTGTTTATGAATAATAAATTAAACATCCTTCATTGATTAACATTGTGGTAACATGCTTTCAGTCCAACAAAGTGTAATAATGTGTAGAGGCACTTGGATAGTTGCGTTAATATTTTTTTTATTAATTCACAATAATCACTGCTATGAAAAAAGTAAGTTGATTTTAATTTAATGAAAATAATGAGTTCAGTTTACAAGTTATTGAATTAATTAATACCCTTTGCAGCTCTGCGTAAGATTGTGAGAAATCAATCGAAGATGATCCAGACATCATTCAGCGATAGCTTTTCGGGAAATAAAAGTCATTACCGCTTAAAGGATTCTTTAATGGTCCCAGGCTATTCTCAGGTCAAAGCTATGGTACATACAAATATTCAAAGACCAAAAATCTCCGCTGTAATATCAACAGTAGAGATAGGCCACAATATTCTAAACAAACCGACGTTTTCACGGCTAAAACTTGGTAAATATAATAAGCAAACTGAACAACGAATGACAAGGAATACAATTTCTAATACTACCAATCCCGTTGTACATAATACAAATGTTTTGTTCCCCGATCATAATTCGGAGACGGTTGTTAAAAATTTTACTCAGTCAGAAGAAGTACTTTTAGAAGAGATTAATAAGATACCAGCTGTGCCATTTTTTCAACAAAAAAATGAAGTAGGTTCTCACGCTACTTTTAACGAAATACCTTCAATATATACTAATGATACTGCTGATATTCCAAATTCGTCCAATCAACCTTCCGCCAGAATGCTTGAACCTAATGAATATGCAAGTGATTTAGTTAATCATGAAATTCCAAAAGATCAATTCATTGAAGCCGATATTAATTATAATATCTCCCTATTAAGGACTTGTGCTGATTTACTGGTATCTAAAGTCGATATTAACGCCCAAGAAAAATTTCTTGAACTGGATGTTGAAGTAAGTTGATTATATTTTTATATCTATTTTCTCTTTAACTATAAATACTGAATGCTAGTTTTATTTTACAGCCACCATGGATAAAAAATGAAAAATTTTGGAATAATATATACAATAATAGATATGAGTTCCTTATGAGAAATCCAGATTGGCCCTCTCTTAGGGTAAGTACTTATATAGAAGTGCCTTTCTTTTAAGAAATAATGATTTTATAAAATAACCAAAGGGAATATAGCTGCTCACTGCCCAACTGCGAGGCTTATTTATATACCACTGTATTCTTTAGTTTCTGAATATTTTATATTATTATTTTTTTAATTTTACAGGTTATTCTTATTCCTCGAACGCATGTTGACACAATTTGGTTAAAATCTTTTGAAACGTCACACAATGAAAGTGTACAGAAAATTATTACAAATGTTATTAAAAAACTACAATTTTATCCAAATCTTACATTTACTTGGAATGAAGTGTCACACTTGAGTTACTGGTGGAAAAATGCATCACAAAAGAGACGTGTGGTTAGTAACAGATTTGTAATTACAATTAGTTTCCAAAATTTCGTCAATATTTAAACAGATTGTTATTTTTGAATAGAGTTTGCGTCGGCTAATTAGGGAGGGCCGGCTTGAAATCACAACAGGGGGTTGGGTGGAAACTGATGAAGCTACGTCGAGCTTATTTGGCATTTTACATCAATTTACAGAGGGTTAGTGATTTATTATTATTGTGTAATATGTTTATTGTGTAGTTATTGCACTTATATAAATATAAGTTATATAAAATGTAGAATTTTACTTAAATTTTTCATAATGACGTATTTCTTTGTCTTTGCATATACGATGGTACGTATTTTGGGTAGGTACTTCTTTTCTATGTCCGTTTAATGAAGGATACATACTGATATGGGCATCGTCTGGGCAGACCTTAGCTTCCGTTGAGATCTAAAGTACGTACTTATTTACATATTTCATGAATATTTTTTTATTTTTCAGGGCATCAATGGTTGGATCAGTTTATAAAATATAAACCAAAGGTAGCTTGGCTCACTAATAGTGTGACTCACAGTCCTACCTTTCCATATATATTGTCAGCGATTGGAATTTCAAATATGGTTTTTACAAAACTCCACTTTGCTTTAGAAGAATATTTTGCTGAGTTTCAATATAGTGATTTTATCTGGCTGCAGAACTGGGACAACGATAAGAAGACACAAACCGATATCAATTTATCTCTGAACAAGATTGGAATTGATCGATATCCTAAGCATGCTGTACTAACACATTTCATACAATTTAACTCTGATGGCTTTAAGGCTTGTGGTCCCGACAGTAAAATATGCAGCGAGGACTTTAACTTCGCAAATAAAGTCACTGATGTTAACCCTTATAACATTAAGGACAAGGCGGAATCATTATTGCAGCAATACTCTAAAAGTGGTACTCTATCACCTCATAATATTATTATGGCTCCAATTGGAGGACCCCTGCATTTTGAAAGTCAAACAGAATTTGACTATCAATATAATAATTATTTAAATATTGCAGACTTTATCAATGTTAATCAAAATATTTACAAGGCTACCGTGCAGTTTGGTACGCCTTCTGATTATTTTACAACTGTTACTAAGAGGCACAAGTCCTTTCCCACATTATCTGGTGATTTTATGAACTTTGCTGAAATAAATAAAAAACGTCCAGCGTATTGGACAGGCTATTTTACATCACGACCTATGGTAAAAATTCTGCTAAGGCGCCTTCAAGCTACATTGCGTTCAACAGAAATTTTATTCTCATTTACTTCTACATTAAATGCATTTAGAAATTATAATAAATCAGAATTGATCAGTAAACTTAGAAGGGTAAGAGAAACTGTTGCTCGATTGCAGGATAGAAACGTTGTCAGTGGAACTATGTCTTCGAAAATACTTAATTACTTATACAATTTGATTTTGATAACAGTGAAAGATTGTTGGCATATTCAAGAAGTTGCAGCTAGTCTACTCAGCACTAAACCCGATAAAAATGAAAAATATCTCACAAAATATGTCTATAAAGAAGGGGAATTCATTTCTTCATTTAAATCAATTGAACCAGGAGATCAACTTTATGTTTTTAATTCATTTACTCATGAAAGAACTGAAGTTGTTGAATTATTGACTCGACACACCAATATCCGTATGGTTGACCATAACAAAAAGGATGTATCCATACAGATTAACCCTGTTTGGAAGTATAGTTCTACACAAAACGTCATACGGATAAACAATCATTTTTTTAAAGTAGTTTTTGTAGTCAGAGTACCTTCTATGACATTGAAGCTATATAAATTCAAGGAAGCTTTTGATATATCAAATAGTTTACCTATAGTTTACTGTACGTCATGTGTTGAAGATTCTCTGAGCTCGAATAGTCCATTTAGTATTCAGCCAATAGAACCAGGAGACATACAAATTGAAAATTATAAGTTAAGACTTATATTTGATGAATTTACTGGATTTTTAAAGAGTGTTATCGAAAAGGGAACCAGCAATGAAAAACAAGTTGTTATGAATTATGGAGCATTCAGAAGTTCCGATACTAACTCGGGAATATATCTATTTAATACAAATGTTACAAAACCAATTTACGATATATTAAAACAATATAAATCAACCAGTGATCTTAAATCTAAAATTATTATCATTGTTTCGGGTAATGTTGTAACAGATTTTACGTCCATTTACGGAAATCTCTTGCAGCACAGCATTAGAATATGTAATAGTATCAACAATCCATTATCGGGTGCAATACGAGTTGAAAGCAAAGTGGATTTTGATGTTTCACCAAATAATAGAGATTTAGAAATGTTTATGTTAGTGCAAACTGATATCGAAAATGGTAATCCGGCAGAAATACATATTGACAATAATGGTTTTCAGTTCACTTCACATAAATTTAATACTTCTCGCAGAATAGAGTCAAATATGTTTCCATTAACAAACATGGCCTTTATACAAGATGAAAAGAATAGACTATCTATCGTAACTGATCACGCTCAAGGTGTAACTGCCTCACAGGAAGGGCAAATACTGGTGATGTTAGATAGAAGAGTATTGTTTAATGATGGTCGTGGAGTTAATGAGGGTTTAGCTGACAATAGGGTTACTAACCACGTCCATTATATTTTGCTAGAGAACTTAGTGCATCATGACGCCTCAGCGGATAATTTATCTACACAATCAAAACTTATTTTACCTAGTTTATTGGCAATTCAAACGGCGAATATTTTGACATATCCTTTAGATATTTTTTTCATCGACAAGCGTCATAGTGACTCCTGTCACTATGTTTTACTTCCTTTGTTTAGAAGTCCCTTTCCCTGCGATGTATTTGTTCTTAATTTCAGAATGTTTTTAGGGATAAAGAGCTCTTTAGATTCTGCTCTTTTAACTTTACATAGGCAAAGTATTACATGTCAAGTGGAAACCTCCGATTATTTTTATTGTAGCACAAACACGGGTTTTAACATAGAGAGAGTTTTTCAACACATACATTCAGCCTTTCACACAAATTTAGTTGGCACTAATAAGGGTATTCCTATCTCTGAGATAAACAATAAAAAATTTCCTCCGATGGAATTGATGTCGTTGAAAGTTAGTTTCAATTAATTTAGTGTCTTTTTGTGTGTAATGCATTGACATACCATGGTATTTATTTTTACATTGTATATATGAGTAGGTCGATAATAGGTAGTGCTAAGTCCAACAAAGATAAAAACTGTAATAATAGTATTGTAGTGAATTTGACGTTTGTGTTGTACAAAGTGTTACGTCAAGTTTTTCTTAATTAAATAACAAACTAAAAGTGTATCTTTATTTCTTACAAATTATTTCTCAGAATTCAGTGGCGTGACTATACCGTGGGCCCGTGGCAAATTCTTTTGATGGGGTCCTATCAGTAAAAATCGTCACGTCGTACTCAGTTTAATGTTAATAAACTTCGAGATTTTCAGCGTACTGAATTACACGATGTGTATGTCCCACTAATGGCCATAGGCCTCCTCTCTTAGGCGAGAGGGAATGGTCTGTAGTCCCCACGCTAGCCAAATGCGTATTGGAGACTTCACATTCATCCAAAGAAAATAATATCTCTTGGGCAGGGGCCCTCTCGGTCGCCCATGACATTTTGCCAGTCCTGCCACCCTATTGTTACGCCACTGTCAGAATTGATACTTTCTGAATATTTAATATGTAAATAAAGGTAAGGCTAGCTGTATTTTGTTCAAACAGACGTTTGTAGGCACTGTCCATTTAAAACCGTAAACCTTAATTTTTCGTCCAGAGTTGATGTTTATATCGCTTATTATCTATAATAGCATATCAAATAAAACATTTTAAATTAAGTAATTGATTTTACTCCTTTCCTGTTCATTAATTTTTGTGAAATTTAGTACACTTTCTTTAGTTTTCACTTCTGAAGTTCCATATGAGAATATATTCTATGATATATCTTAAGTATGTTTATTGTTTTGTTAGTATCATTAGAAATCCTAAATGGCCGTCACCACAAAATTGCGATGTTCGTTTTTTTTAATAATTTCTACATCGGTATGAAAAGAAAGTGCTAGTCTATTGAATATTAAATTGAATTTATAAATCATCATCACCTAACTAACTAAAAGTAAATTAAAACAAATTTAAAAAGTTTGGTCCCTGTGGCAGTGTATCTTTAACGCTGGCAGCATAATTAAAATATAATTTTTTTTTTAATAAGATTAAATTTACAGCTGAGGTATACCTCCATATCTTTGTGACGCGCCCTCTAGGCCTCTAGGTGCATTTGGCCGTGGCGCTGTCTACGTGGAGATGACGTTAATTTCTCTGAGATGACATTACTCTTTTTTCGACAGATAAATTTAAGCTGTCACATACATCTGTACACATACCAATCTTGTCAAAACGTAAATGTTTTTGTTTAAGCAATTTTATAACCGTCTGTGGTAAATACTAAATAGTAACTATACTACTATATAATTATATAATTTTTATAGCGATTACAGATACTTAGAATCAAAAATATATGTTTCTACAATCCCTTTTTAAATAAGTGTGTTATGTGGTTACAAAAAGTATTATTTAAATTAGTTGAAGAATTTTTACGTAATGCAATTCAATTTCCAACTTGTTCAGTAAAGTATTAGTGTATGTTGAAATACATGTTGACGAAGTACGAATGTCTAACATATTTATGGATCAATCATCATGAAATAATCCATTTCATAGATTGTTTTATATGTAGATGTAAATGAATGGATTGCAATAAAAACATAAATGCATCTAAATGTTATAACTTTAACCACTTAAAATGGGACTTCTTATATCGAAAATCTGGAGCTTGTTTGGCAATGATGGTAAGTAAAAATAAAACTTATCCGTGACATTTGACTGTGATAAGATAACTTAAGGTGTCTAAATATTTAATTTAATATCAGAGAAGTCGAAAAATAATTTGTAACATTACACAATAATGCATGCATGGTATTTTTGTATTTTACTATTTGTCATAATTTGTATTTCCTCAGAGCATAAGCTGGTCTTAGTAGGTTTGGACAATGCGGGTAAAACCACTATACTCTATCAATTGTTACTTGGTGAGGCAGTCCACACCAGACCTACTATTGGATCAAATGTTGAAGAGGTTGTTTGGAAGAATCTACGCTTCGTAATGTGGGACCTTGGAGGCCAACAAAGTTTGCGATCTGCTTGGAATACTTACTATACAAACAGTGAGGTATATTTGCAAAATTTTTACTTTTACTTCTACCATTGTTATTCAGAATATGCTTTGCGGGCCATAATAAACTGATGTGTATAAAAATAAAATGTGTTCCACATGCTTTGTATCTGAAGTTAGTAGGTATGAAATTTTTTATGTTGTAACAATTGGTATTTGCGAATTAGTTGCCATGCACATCTTTGCATTGTTTTATACCAGCCCAATGCTATTTATGTTTTGATAGGTATCAATTTAAGAAATGCAGATATATGCCATGGTCCTAACTATAAAAGTAGACAAATGTAAATAAATTATACTATGCTAGGCTGTTGATACTTAAATGCTTAAGTTTAAAATTATAGTATGGTATCAATTAAGGCAAGTGCAAATATATATAATAAATAATCTTTATTTATACAATTTGAATATCATCTTGACTGAAGTTAACATTGATATGAATCAATGTTAACTTCAGTCATAATTTGTAATGTAAATTTTCATTATATTTTGGACTATGTCTTGACTTTGATTCTGACGATTTAGCATATAAATATGCTTTAAAAAGAAATTAGTTGGAAATGATATGTTTTTATCAATTATTCAGCATTATAGCTATGTTTCTGTTTTTTCCAGTTTGTCATAATGGTGATAGATTCCACTGACCGACAAAGATTGAGTATTAGTCGAGATGAACTCCATAGCATGCTTACACACGAGGAACTTAGTAAAGCTTGTCTCCTTGTATTTGCCAATAAGCAGGTTAGTATTAAATTCCACTTATTTATTTATTTCGTAATCCTTCAGCTAACATAAATTATATATAATAACAAACAGTTACACTGAAAATATAGCCAGAGATGGAATACATAATACATTTTACTACAAAAAGGTTCAAAAATTGACAAAAGGAAACAAACAAATAAAAATTATTCAATACATTCAACTAAGTAATACCTAATTTGGCTGTGTTGTGTGATGGTGTTAAGTACGTGAAGATGTGTATGTGGGAAATGCTCATGATGCAGGTGATTTTGCGCTATGGATATTCTAAATACTCCTTTTAACCATATTCTGCGATAGCTTAAACAAGCTAAGAATAGAAAGCACACTACTGGTAATATATTCTTGATGCATAAAACTAATATGAATCCATTTTACACTTTAAGTTTTCTTGAAAATCAGCAACATCAAAGCAGGATATTTTATTTGCTTCTTTAGGATGTGTGTGTGAAACCAGTGTCTTTATGGGATCATTCTTAGAACATAGATAAAAAAGCTTACAAATATTAGCCCGTTAAGCTATTTTGTCAGTTAGAACTTAATAAGTCATTTATTTATAGTATTTTACTTATCAACAAATCTGTCTCTCCATCAAAAATACACATACAAATGAGCATTATTAATTTATGAAAAAACACTAATTATTGTGATGAAATTTATACTTCTTTAGATCTGTAAGTTATTAGTATAGATAGAGTTATTCAGATTCAGTTTACTTTATTACATAAATCAAAATCTAGATAGATAGAATTATTTACTATACTACTTGTATATGCGTAAAAACATGATATACAAAGTTTTAGGTACTGTACAAAAAAATATGTCATGATATCTATTTTTTAATTCATAGTTTTTGCTACTTGAGTCACTTATTTACTTTAATCATTTAGTTTAGTTAATTATACATTTATTTAATTAATTAAATTTACTTTAATGTCATGGTGAACATCATAATTTAGTTTAACACTGACTGATGACTTAATTAGAATTTGTAAAACTCCACAAATACAGAACATATAGTTGGATGGAAGCATATAGTACAAAGGACTAACTACAAACCAAACTGTAAAAAACAATATCTTTAATGGTATCAGGTTTTGAGGTTTCTGAATTAGAGCTAGAAAATCTAATATAAAACGCGTGGGCGAATCAAAATTTTACTACTTGGTTACTGTGTGGCGTACCTATGCCTTATATCTATATTGATGATTATATTAGTATAAATTCTCATGCATTGTATTAGAGCAGAGAGTATTAAATGTATCTTCGAACTGGAAACATCGTTCTTATTTAGTCCCGTCCTTACATGGCGACCCTGCCATTTAAGGTTCGGTTTCGGGTTGCAGCTCAGTGAATTGTGTAACATGATTTTGGACATATTCGAATTTTAATTGTTAGAACATTCGCGAGTTACACATTGGTTTTTTTTTTAAATGGGGAAGGAGCAAAGTAAAGTATAGAAAAAATCGTGACAAATATTATTTTGGCGATTTTCCTCGTAATTATTATTTTGGGAGCAAAATTCATGGTTTATAAATTATATAAACGCTGTCACATAAATTGGATGCGAGAGGAGATGGCCAGGAGCACCTTCAGACGTTCGATCACCAGGCGTGAACCCAAGGCGAGAGGAGAAAATTCCGGACTCTATCGTTTAGCCTTGAGTCTCATTAGATTTGGCTGAGCATCAGTGAGTGACGAGGAAGAAAAATGTGTGTGCAAGTGCGTTATAAGTGAAAGTGAAATTGGGTCGTAAGCAAGGTGTAGTTATTATAGACATATACATATTTTATATCCTTATACAATATTCATTATACACATTTTTTTTTGTACTTAATAATATTGTATTTTTTTTTCTCTGTACTTAATATATACATTTTATGTAAGAACTTAAATGGATGATGATATATTAGAGTTAAAAAAGCAAATTGAGAGTATAAAAATTAATTTAACGAAACTAAGTAAAACTAAAAGAACTAAAAAGTTGTTAGAGCAGAAATACTTAGAGGCAAAATGTTTATATAAAGAATAATCTTAAATACCGTGACTATTTAAGATTTAATGTTTCGAAAGGATATGTAAAACAAGACCAGAAAAATAGCGAATTACCAATTAATTTGAGAAAATTGAAATGTATTATCAAAAAATACAAACATTTTGTTTAGAAAGTGGACAAAATTTTAGCATCATCACTTATTTAGAATATAATGAATACTAACTTATATGTGTTATTTAGCAGTTTAATCACTTTTTCAGGATGTCAAAGGTTCCATGACTGCAGCAGAAATATCGCAGCAATTGGATCTGACATCAATAAAGCATCATCCCTGGCATATACAAGCTTGTTGTGCATTAACAGGTGAAGGGTAAGTAAAGTTGATTTTAATCATATTAAAACTTCTCAAAACTCTCTTCTAACTTCAGTGTTGGTTACGGTGTAAACTCAGTAAAAGAAAGTCTTTTATTTAGCAGTAGACTATTTTTTAATCGCACCACAATTAACATCTACAATAATTTAAATTAAAAAAACTTTATTTAGCTAATATAAATACCTCCCAACCTGGTTAGAAGAAAAGCTGAATTTATATTAATTCAGTAAATTTCTTTAAATTGACAATTGTATCTTTATACAGAACAACAGCTGGTACAGAATTCATTGATCTTTAAAAAGTAACTGTTTCTTACATATATACTACTAGAGCTTGTTATTAAACTAGATTTAAATAATATCCCTGTAAATTACTAAATCTCGTATATATATATTCTGTAACAAGTAGGAAAAAGAAAAAGTTACCGTAAAAGATATCTTTGACAGACTTGTGTTATAGAGATAAGTTTGTAGAGAGCTACAAACCTAGTGAAATTAATTAATAATCTTAATAATAAACATTATAATTTGACTATATAATTTGTTTAACTTACAAAATCTTTATTATTAACAGGCTGCATCTTGGTCTAGAGTGGATTGCTAGTAGAATAAAGAAGAAATGACATAAAAACTTGACAGAGTCTTTCAATATCTTTAATCTAGTTGTACCCTCATTTTGTTAAAGCTATTGACCTACTGTATTCAGTTGTTTATAATAAATTGTTTTATAATTTTACTGGTAAGTGTATGAAATCACAAATTTTTACATTAATGTATGTCCTATTTATCTTCTAAAATCTTAAAATGTAAATGAAACAAAATATCAGGTTCTATGACTTTATTTTATAATTTGTAATATTGATGATCAAAATTATTGTACAATTTAACATTCATTATGGACTACATACAACCAAACATTGCACTACGAGAAAATATTAATTCTATTGTACATACAGTGATATTTGGTAAGAAATATGTGCCGATGAATACAACATCAATTAATTATAAACTAGTTTCGCTTTATATTTCTTTGACTAATTAATTATTAAATAATAAAACCATGATGCATCACTTTGACAATCATGTAAATTGTTAACCTCGAAACTTCCATATGCGTAACCATTGGGATACATAGAAAGACTGCCCAATGTTACATAACAATGCTTCCTGTTTATAAGGATTTAAGTTTTAAATTTAATGAATTTTCTTATATACAACATATGTTGAAATCGACGTAAAATATATTATATGACTTAACGTTTATTATTATGCGATTATTTTTTAATATAATGTATAAAAGATGACAATGATTAATTGTATAACTAAGATTGCGTTGTGTTATTTTAATGATTAGCTCATAATAATTAATATCCTCGTTTTATTAGACATTCTTAAAATTGCTATATATAGTAATGTTTTTACGATTAGGTTATACAATATACATATTTTAATTTTAGAATTATAATTATTAATGATAAATTTAATTAATAATAATTTTTGGTTTAAAGGCTAAATCAATGGGAATAAACGTATTTAATAAAACAAGTCTTTTTTATTTCATTATACAATTCATATGCAAAAAGATTTTTACAATCAAAATTATCTTCTAGTCAGAATCTTAAACATTAATGTGTAAGTTATGATTTTGTATATACGTATTGTGCCCCATTATTAAATAATATTATGAAAGGAAATGAAAAAAATGGTGGTGGTAATTGTACTCAATGTTAAAGCATAATTTAAATACAATTAAATTGATTAAGCTGAGACTTATTAAAATGTGGGCTGAAACCAAGATCAAACTTACCAGAATTAAGGTAATTTAGAGGTTTATTATAAACTGTATTCTGAACTAGCCTATTTAATATCTTACTTTAACACACAAAATTAATAAAAATCAAACAAATTAACACTATTCAACAATATAATTGGATTAGTCCTAATTCTGACGTATTAATAATAATGGACATCACACATATTAACACAGAATATCTTAATATATATATTTCGTGCGTGTGTATGTGACTGAACTCCTCTCAAACGACTGGACCGATTTTGATGAAATTTTTTGTGTGTGTTCAAGGGGATCTGGGAATGGTTTAGATTCACAAATCAGCCCGGCAGATGGCACTGCAGTCGGTACTTTCATACTTTGCTTAATATCCTAATCGCTTTAAATATCATGCAGGACAACGTCTGTGGGGTCCACTAGTAATAATATAACGTAAACGGTCTTAACGGCGAACAATTTCTTTCACACACGAATACGAATAAGACTAGATAAAATTAGTAGACATTCAGGATTATTAAAATAGATAATTCATTTTAGTAATACGGTTAGTTTTAGGTATTATTATAGTATTTGTTTGTCACGTCGTAAACATAATTTGATGGAGAAATTATAACTTACATGAAAACTTAAATGTTCTCATGAATAAGGAGTAATAAAGTATTATTATTCGTAGTCTGTTCGCTGCAACTGATTAGCATGTTAAAATGCAGATGGTGGTTTTAAGCTAAATTTAATAAATAAACACACAGTGCCATCTACAGGAATATGCGAATGTTAAAATAGTCGTAGATTACAAGATTAAATATAAAAAAAAACTATTGGTCTGTGCGGAAAGCGAACCGTCGATGATTTGAGGTCGCTGTAGTGCTAAATTACCTTTTTTGTTACGTTTACAACACTAGATATAATAAAAAACTAAGAATAACTTTTGCGAATAAATGAAATGACGCGTAGCAAATAAGAATTATACTGTCTGTGGACAGTATAATTCTTATTTGCTACGCTCTTCGCATCGCCACGACAATTTTCTTTTCTCGCAGACTATTGTTATCTTTTACTGATTATATTAAAATTACATTTTGAACTGGTAAGACATCCTTAGCGCATATAACTCTCGTATTATAATAAATCTAATACGTATTTGACGTAACGATATTGGGGATAAGTCTTGACTCTGAATCGTACCTTAAAACGCAAAGAATGAACGAAATCTTGAAATAAATAAACATAGAAGAGTTGCTGTTCTAAAATAACTATGATATGGTTATTTTTTACGCCCTTTCTACAACGAGAATCATGGCGTGAATGAAAAATAGCTAGCTAGCTGTATAAAATTATTATTTATAGGTCTACGTCAGAATCGGTAATAATACTTAGATACAAAAAAATCACAACGAATCACTTACAAGAAGCTGAACCACAAAAATGTGTGCCAACTAAACTTAAATATTTCCAAATATATTAAAAAAATTAATACAGATAATTCATTGTTGTTAATAAATATAAATGCAGTGTATAAAATTGTACATCTATGTCATTCTCAAGTTATAGAATTGGGTTTTTGAAAAAAAAAAAAATTGATTTGTTATAAAACTTATATATTATGATCTTTCCCTTTATCACAAAAAAATTATTTTCAAAAACCCAATTATAGAATTGACATTTTAAAAATATTATTTGTATACGAGTCTTAGTTTGTTGCAGTTTTTTTTATCAAATACATCCCCATTCGTAAAAACGAAATCAATCTAATTGCACTGTCAAACGCTGTAATGAGAAATAGAGTACTTTTTTTCATTTATTGCTTAAATATACTAGTAATATAACTTTGGCGTCTTAACACCTTCAAACGGTGAAATTAAACAGATTTTTATGAATAAGGAATACTAATAAAGTAACTGTTTCATACTATATTTGCTTTTTCATCTTATTTTACTAATTGTCTATCACTCTGTATAGATTAATTTTCGTCTGAAAAATTGGAAAAATAGTCGCATTATATATTCAGTGAAGGTCAAATATTAAAATTATAACTAAATTATTATTAAAAGATCGCATCGTTTATAGTACTATACTATTTGGTCCTGAGGTAGATTTTTCTAGTAAATCGAGACATCACATAATGTCAAAAAGTATAGTGCATAGATGAATTATGACGGACTCGGTACAATGGTGCACTTTAACTCGGATTAAATTATTACTTGAAATTAAGTTTTTACATGATTTCCAGTCAGTGTCGATTGCGCACCATTGATGATTTATTCACCTCTTTATACAAATAAATTATAAAAGCATTCAAGACATACAAATATACTTAATTATTATGCATCTATAATTTACTAACATTTAGATAAGCAACACTTTTCGCGTCAAGGTTTTCTACTATTACAGTTTTCAACGACAAAAATGCGTCAATTTAAATGTTTTTGTAAATGGCTAAACACCGATATATTACCCTATAAATGTCTCTACAGTTCTAAAATCGAATTCTATAAGTCTTAACTTCCATCGGATTTAAAGTAATGTTTGCTAAGCCAGTGAGATTTTCAAACGTTTTCATACCAGTCAAGCTCACTGACGCTAAAGCATTAACGTTTAACCCAACGAAATTTGTGTCGCCTGTAAAATGTGTACTTGGGTTTAACATTGAATCTCCGACATTGCAGCTGATGCCCGGTCTATGGATAATAAAAAAACACGAATTGCTTGGAAATTGTTCTAATACTTCATCGGTGATTGTACGTAACGATACCAGATGGACACCAGGAGGGAAGTTTTCTAAAAACGTTTGACCTGACTTTACTTCAATATCCCCAACTTCGCTGGTATCCACTATGTAGGCATTGACAGGATAGTTCAGTGTTCTACTCAAGTAATCGGCTGTTCGTGAAGGTAATTCGTATGTTGGAGACGTAGCTGCGTGATTTTCATTAAATTGTCTTGAGTTTTGTGAATGTTTGTCTTTTTTAGAGTTTTTTGGATTGATAGGCTCCAGTAAAAGCCAGTTAGAGAAAACTGTTGGTTTATTATCTACAACCCCTTCACCTATACCTCTAAAGTCGTCATACAAAGTTCGTCGATCTAACATTACTTCAAGTCTTCCCGGCTCGAAGGCTGCCGCGCCTTGAGCGTGATTGGTAAGCAGTGTCAGGCGAGTCTCGTCATCTTGTATCCACGCCATTGTAGTTATAGGATAGTAGTTCGCTTCGATGCCTAGTTTGTCGACTTTAACCCTGCGTTGATACTGAAAACCATTTTGGTCTGTGTAAAATTCTGGTACTTCCCCATTCTGTAAGTTCGTCTGTATTCGCATGTACAATTCGGTATCCCTATTCTTTGGTGGACTTTCAAAATCAACGACATTCTCAACGTAAATACCATGGGACAGAGCTGGATCGTCAACATTATATATTCTGATAGTATGAACTAAAAATGGTAAATACATTGTTGTAATTTCTGTGGAGACCGGGCCCGACACTATGACAACATTTTCATCCTGTGATGTTCCTTTGCTGTAAGCTGTAAGGACATCTTTTTCGGGTGGATCAAAATCTGGCATGAATAAATATGCACCGGAATGTCGTTGTGCACTCTGGTAAGCCCCAAATTGAATGTCCACAATATTTTTTTTTCTTATATCTTTTCGATATATTTGTCTTAAGAACCCAGAGTTCCGGTCGACTAATAATTTCATTACATCATTCTCCAGTTGAATATTTCCAGGCAACATCTTTTCGATTACAAAATTGTTTTGTTTTTCGGAATCATATTTTTGTTCGGTACAGTTATTGCAAAATATTTTACAATGATGCGATTTATTGGTGTATTCCTCGAGTTTGTAGGTCACAACACTCAAGGCGTCCAAGTGGGCCACAAAGCTCACTTCGAAATTGACATCACTAATAGTAAATCTTCCATTATCCAGAACATGAATGTTGGGTGTAATTTGATACTGAACATATTTTTTATTATGCGTATCATACACGCGAACATTTGTAGTATTGGATCGAAGAGTTACGACTTCAGTTCTTTTTTCCGCGAGTGGATTGAAAAGGACAACCATCTTTTTATCAATTACTGAAATATGCAATCTCTTCGGTTGTTTACCGTAACTTTCCCACTCCTGTTCACTTTGAAGAATACTTTGAGTGTGAAGTTTACTGTCAGGTATCATTAACGTGGTAAGCGCGGCTTCTTGTAAACGAATACAGTGATACAAACTAGTGAACAGTTTTGTTCCATAGTCATACATCACGCTGGCTCTTGAAGTACCTGTAATCGCATCGTGATGTTGAAAAAGCCCAAGATTCCGTCGAGCGTATATTAATTGTTCATAGTACTTTTCGAGTTTTCGTTCTGATGATTCAAACATGTGTTTATTAGATTGTCGCAAGAAGTTTGAGACCAGTGAGAATAAGAGTTCAGCGGTTCGTAGTTGGTGTTCGAATTGACGAGCTACTATTTTAATGTATGGCCTTGTCGTGTAATAACCGGACCAATACGCCGGTTTCCCTTCACTGAATATATCTGAGTACACGAAGAAGTCCCCTCTTAACGTCGGTATATCATTACTACGCTCTTTCACGGCGTTAAAGTAATCTATAGGAGTTCCAAAGCTAACCTCAGCGTCAAACAGGTCTTTGTGTTTGTTAATATAGTTGAACATTTTCATATAATTGACGTATTGTGCATCAAATTCAATGCCGTACTCATACCTAAAGTCGTCTCCCAATGGTACTAGAACAACATTGTGTTTTGTCAATGTCCCAATACGATCATATTCTTCCATGAGTGTTTTGGATTTGCTGTGAAGGTTATGTTCTGTAATATCTTCATGTTTAGCGGTGTATTCGGAATACTCCCCAGGAATTTTTCTGAAATCGAAACTAAGACATATGGCTGGGTGTGGTCCACAGGTGCTCTTTATTGAGTAAATGTCAAAAGGTTGGTTGTGAACGATTAGGGAAGGCTTAGCGGATGAGAATCCCGGCATCCAGTGAAACTCCTCTATTTGCCTCTGGGCAAACCATTGCTTCCAAGCGTAGTGAATTCGTTGGATAATGGCGCCTTCTAAACCGCTTTTATCGAGTAAGTAAGGTACGGTCGCTCCATGGCCAAAAGGATCTATTGACCACCCAATTTTTGGAGTTACTCCGAGATTTGCTTTTACCCAGACGTGTCCTAAAAATAATTAACAAAATTTAAACTACAATTATAAAAAGCCTTTTCACGATCTTATTTTACATCTAGAAAAATTATTAGAAAACATCTATTATCATAATTATTACAAGTCTTAAAATTTACCTTCTATAAACTGGTCAATGAGAGAATAGATATGTGTACAGGCTTCATCGGGCATTACCCATCCTCCCGTAGTTATTTCAAGACGACCTTCTTTTACCAACTTCTTAAGAGCCTGCAAATATAATGCAATAAAGAAAATTCTCACGACTATGAGCAAATACAATAATGATGGTTATAAGATTTCTCATGCCCGCATAATGCGTTTCGCAATCCTTTTCAAATGAAAGTAAAGCTTTTTATTGGTTTTACACCTCTGCCTAAGTAGATTATCGACTATCAATTCTTGGTCTTTGACAACGCGCTGGGATTATCAAGCTTTAAAAATAATTAATAGAATTTCATTTCGATTCCAAGTGCACATAAGGAGCCTTTGAAGAAAAGTACTTCACACAGAACTCTACACAGTATTGTTGCTAAATAATATTACAGTTATATAATAAAACAATACTAAACTAACAAAAACTCTACCTTTTGTTTAACCGGATGAGACCTCTCCCACCAGGCGTTTAAGAAAGAAATCTCCGTCCAAATAAAAGTCATATTCGGGTATTGGTTTAATTTCATGACTATGTTGTCGATTATATTTTTAGTTTTCGTTTCAAAATATTGTTCGAACGTCTTCAGCCAGCCGGGATCATTATGGGAGTGCGGTACTACGATAACCTGAAATTCGACATTTAAATGGTATCGGCCGTATTGCTATCTAAATTCAAAACGGACACAGATATTACAAGAAATATTTCGAATGCAGCTCCTGCTATTTCCTACCTTAGCATTGAATTCAAATTCAATAGATTAGGTAGATTTGAGGAAACATTGAATTTAAAATAAAATATAGTGTTAAATTAATCTATCAAAATAAAGTTTAATCGTAAAATAACAAAGACATTCTCATTTACAATGCCAACGTTATGTTCGGAGCGATACATAGTACGCCAAATACAATACGTTTTTGACATATGGGGGATATATTATCGATAACGTAAGAATGATCTTACGCTAAGTCTCGACATTGAACCTTACCCTAAGTACTAAACATGTACGTGTAACTTATAAGTCAATTCCTATATCATTTATGTAATAAATAAACGCTAACATTTATTGACTACAAATTTCTGAAGTGTTATTCCAATAAAATATAAATAGGATTATGTTGAAACTATATTGTATAAAACACGGTGAAGCGGAGGTTTCCGGGAAATCTACCCTGGAGTGCATCGATAACACTATTACCAACTTAAGGCAATGCAGCTACAACACGATCGGAATTTATGTCAATTTCGACGCAGGATAATGTTTGAAGTGAATTTTAAACTTAGATGTAAATGTTTTTAACGTAAATGGAATTTCAAAACTGACCGTAAATTTATTGAATAAAATCTCTCCGTTCGTGTGCTTATAAGATTAAAACGGTATCCATGGTGTTTATCTTTGTTCGAGATTTCCTCAACCGTCTACTTGGCTTAAGATATTACGTATATTATATTAAAAAGGCTTTGAGTATTCTTGGAGCATTCTGAGAAATATAGTAAGTCTCTTAAATCATTTTACATATCCATTTTAAATGTATATAAATCTTGGTCTATGTAAATGATTATATAATACTATACTTCACAGAACGAATGTATTTCCAACAATTAATCGACCGTTTCTACGGTTACATCTACCCTTAGGTATATCTTCAAATCCACTTTAAATTAATAATCGAATTTTATTTATTGTATTACCTTCAACTTTGGACGGCGACTGTCGTTTTTATTATTCTCATATCTCTCTTCAAAACTACGGTCCCAAAACTCTTTAGTACGTAACCAGTTTGGCTGAAAAATAGTGTTTTGATTTATATATATATATAGTACATATAACTAGAGATTATAAAGTCATACTTAAAGGGAAATTAAAACGGAAACGGTAGGAAGATGTAGGAACAGAACGGAATTTCTTTTGCTGTTCGTAACTTAACGATTTTATCCAGAGAGTAAAATAGGATAAGATAATTAAAAATATCATCGGGATATAGATATGATGGTTTACTTTTTACAAAAGAGACAAAAGTAGGTACTTGTACGTACCCACCTACCTAATTACCAAGGTAATTAAAAGAAGTCGACAACCTTGGTTCATTCATAATAAATAATTTCCTCTCTTTTTGCATAAATACTGCATGGGAATAGCTAATGTAATATCAGTCTCATACATTTTAAATGAAACGGCTCCAAGCGTAAGTTCCTTATAGAAGCGGAAGATTTTTTTTAACACGTTCTTTCTATATCAAATAGCTTCTATAATTGAGTTTTTAAAGCTAATTATATAGTTTTAGGTATTTTGTGGTTAATTCTATATAATAAATACAAAAGTTTTAGCTTTGTAGTGGTAATGATTGACAACTCTGGACAACTTTCAACAACGTAGAATTAGCACCAGTATTGACCAGTAATAAAACTTTGAATATTCGTATGAAAACTACATTAAATATTTGCACAATTCTGTGTAACACACGTGTTGTACTCGTAGGAACTGTTAATATTCGCGGCAAATATATACTAGCGAGCTGAAACAAACTTAAGCTATAGAATATAATTATAATTTGAAATAACCATACTAAGGTTATTTCATTTACATTTGTATCTATGATCGTATACTGAATATTCTAAACAAATTACTCTGAAATACTTGTATGGAACTTGTTTCATTCGCGAAGGCTTAACTCGTTCCAGTCTTAATACACTATGTGTCAAGAGCAGATTTTGTTTGAAAAATATGCTTTCATTTCAGGTACTAAGCTTATAGGATCTTTTCCTTTAAATCTCGTTGAGTGAAGGCACTAATTAACGACGGCCACTTTGTTTTCTTATTATCTTTATCTTATGTTTTGACTTCAAGACGTAATAGTTTACAATAACATTTTGTCTCAAGATAAAAAGTGAAGTCAAATAAGACTAAACAATGCCCTCGAAACTAAAATATTGTTTCCCCAACCATCAAAGCAGCACATTCCGACCTCACCACATTCAATACCTAGTGATAGAGGAACTTATTGCATACATTGTTACTAAACCTTACATTCATAACATTTTACTGTTTCATTAATATCTTATTATATTAAAGGTTAGTTAAATAGATACTCAACTTTCAATTTGAAAGCTCTGAATCGAGTATGATATAAAGCCATGGCAAACATTTAATGCCCGCGGTCTCTTCGCTACATGAAGTTAGTTTGTTTAGGAAATTGTAACGTCAATGAAAGGTGCTACTGTGCAATTCTAACAATTATTGAAAAAAAAATGCACATTATCGAGGATATACATTTGAATTTAAATATTCGCATAAAACATTTGCAAAGATATATTTACAAACACGATATTAATCCTTATTCAAATAAATAACTTCATCATCTCAAGTATTTAATTTGGAACAAAATCGCCCTGTACATCATTTGTTTCATTAAATATGTTAGGACATATAATAGATTAAAATAACTCCGCAATAAAATAATCAAGAACCACGCGCGTATTAATGAAATGCTTAAAAAGTATCATTTATATTTTGCCGCCTTGAATGTAATTTTTGTAAAAAGCTGGTTTTCGCTAATACTTCGTCCTTTAAAATCTAGTGTACATTTGATTATAAATATGACAAAGCTTTTTTTCACTACCTAAGTCATAGCACGATGAAGCTAAAATACAGGATAATTCAAAATATACTATACCTGAAAGTCAAATGATGGGAAAATGGAAACTGTATCAATCTCCGCCACGCTCTCGCGGACCACTGGACACTGTGGCAACTGAAAATAATTTTTTTTTCTCCATTGTTAGTTTCGCACAGTCCTATGTGGTAAGCATGAATGTCTCTGTTTCATTTTCTCCGGACTTCACGTAAATGCTGACTAATTGTATTAATTAAAGCATTTTTTATTTAGTAGGGAGCGACCACAGGTCTCGCATTGCTTCGGTCCTGACATACATATTTCACTTCGTCCACTATCAAAAATATATAAACAGACACACAAGTGTGTTGCCAAGCCGATGGGGTCACAGACTTTATTATTTACGAGATTTTTGCCGATGGCTAAAAATTCGTACTTGTCACAAACCCACTTCAGACAAGAATGTATAGGCAGCCTTAATTAACGCATTTTGAAAGGTGAATAATATGCTGTAGCATAAATTTATAGCAACTTAACTGTTTCAATTTTGAAAACGAAAAACAAAGTGAATGATCGAAAAATTAAATTTATACGAGATCTTGAACACAGGCCGTATGAATATTACTGATTCATATAACCATGATAGCTTTATTATGAGCTCTTATTTTACCCCTTATACGTGGAAATTCTTTTAAAGTGCATGTGTCTGCCAACATTTCTATCATTTAGGTACCATAATGAATCAGATCAGTATTTCACTTGTTTATGTGCTACTGGAAATATAATTGAAGCAAAAAATTATCGGGTCTTTAGTAAGTGTAATATTAAAGAATGAAACTATCCCGACGTTACTAAAATTATTAAAGTTTTATAGTAATCAAGGCACGAAAGCTTTACCTAATATCCAATGTCTAATACATTTAAAATGACTCAAACTATGAATAATAATGACGACACCATTACAAAACGTCGGAACAAATATTCCAATTTTAGTACAATAATTAAAAAACTTTTGTATGACTTGAATTAAGTTGTAATTAAATAAAAATCTTGTAATTACTCTCAAATAAATTTTTAATTTATCTTCAATAACATGAAGGTGCGTTGATTAATGATATATGTATAAGCGAATAACTAAGACGGAGTTCCAGAGCTTTCGTGAACATTTCAGATAGTATCCTGCAGTGTTTAGCGCAAACATTTCAAAGGGGAATCGCCGAGTCATTTGATACTTAATCATTAAGATCTGGGCAACAGATGGGGTATATATGTGTAGCATAAAAAAAATCAACGTTATAATTGATTAGTTAAAGCTAAAACTATGTAATCAAGAGGCAGTTTCTGTTGAAAGAGCGTTGGCTATCGAGAAGTACATAAAAAGATACAAACTTACTTTTACAGAATCTTGGCTACGGGTACTTTTTAGATGGATGATCTTTTCGCTGCTTAACTTGTTACCTAAAACAAAAATACATTTCAATAATTAAATTATATAGAAAAACAAGAAAAGTGATTGCAAAAACATTTTATATTCTATACACGATTATTATGAACATTTTATTTTTTACAATTACTATTATTGAAATAAAGCTGCAACTCGAGTAGCGTTGGCTTATTGACTTCAGCATGCTACTCTCATCCCTGAGGTCGTAGGTTCGATCCACGGCTGTGCACCAATGGACTTACTATGTGCGCTTTGAATATTCGCTCGCACGGTGAAGGAAAACATCGTGAGGAAAGCGGTTTATCTTAGACCCAAAAAGTCGACGGCGTGTGTCAGGCACAGGAGGCTGATCATCTACTTGCCTATTACATTGAAAAATGATCATGGAACAGATACATAAATCTAGGCCTAGACCTAAAAATGATGTAGCGCTACTGTTTTTTTATTTATTTTAATGCAGCAACTCTCAGGCAACCCGGTTGATGATAATATATAACGAACTTTTAAGTTATTTATTATTATGATTGTATATATTGACGTATCATGTCGCATACGCATATACATGTACGCGTGTTTGACTAGAGCTAAGAACAATTATGAGCACTAGAGATGCTGTTGACGAAACACAATCAAACGGAACGCGCCATCCTTTCATCTTACGTTTTACTTTCACCCCATGTATCCGGTTTTTTTCTATGAATATGTTATTATTATTCTTAACTATCCTACACAATCACATTCTTCTATACTTTAGTGTAAACAAGTTGATTATGATATTTGATATCAATTTCACAAATTACTGTGTTAAATATAATACAAATTTTGTTTGTTTAGACCAATAATATTTTGTGTATTAAAATGCCTAGCAATAAACGCTTTATTTATTAATTAAAACATGCCACAGCTGAAGTTTACAGGTCTTCAACACCTCGCCTGGGATCGTTACGTCCGAATTAACAATTTAATCTTTTAAATATTGTTACGAAGATGGATTGACTGAAATTATTCTCGATTTTTCCACCAGTTAGAGACACCAAGCTGAATAGTTGTTTCTGACGGTTTCAGGAGGGTCAATTCCATATTAGAAAATTGTAATTTGCATAATGTTACCCTCGTTTTCTGGAGCCTGAAACATTTTTTCAGCTAGTTTCAAAACAAGCGTAGTGGAGTGTTACAATTTGGGAGCGTTCAAGTATTACGTCACGCAATTTTTGGAGATTATTGACCCCCCCATGTAACGCGTCGTAACGTTTTTCTATACCCAATAGTAAAACGTTTAGTAAGCGACCACCCGTGACTAAAAGTTACCATTAGGTGGTGTAAAGTACTGGAAAGTCGAAAATAATGTTAACAATAACGCGTAATTTAATCCCCGCCCCGCAACGTATTACGTAACGTTTTACAAAAGGAAGATCGGAACGGTCTCGAAGAATATTCTAGAATGTTCTCGCTGGCTGGAAATGCCGTGCGACAAGGACGCAGCGATGAGATGAAGAGTGCGTACGTTCTAGAATTGTGCGATAGGAAAAGAACATCAGCTATTCAGTATCACTCCTGCCTAGATAGTTCTCGAATATCGTTCAAGATTATTCCCAGGGATATATAAGCGAGCCGAAACTCGGCCCATCACTTCTCTGTTCAGGCCGAGCTACGCTCGCCAAAACAGCCCGAGCTGAAATGTAAAGGCCCTTAAGGCCAAATGCGAGATTCCTTACAAAAAAAAACCCACCACTTCAGTTGCGAGTGTGATACCAAAAGATTAACACCGAAGAGATAAAGTGCGAATAGTGATACGAAGTACTGTATGAAGTGCGCGTAATTGTTAGTGTATTTCTGCGCAAAATTTGCGTCTTTTTAGCATTTACAAATTCGTCGAGGATTTATTTATAAATAAAGTCTTCTATGACGTTTTCTATCCGATCCCCTAGCTCGTAACAATATGAATAACTAGCATACAGATTTCGTATGCGAATAGTTATCTCGTTATTTTCAGCCACCATTGAGGCTTCAGTTGCTAGCGCGTGTTATCGGATTTTATGCAAATGTTACAATTATAGAGCAGGTGAACTCAGAGCATGTCGATCGATTCTGAAAATTCAATTTTAACTGTCCAATCACACCAATTAAAGGCCTTAGCGCTATTATACGATAGTTTCATAGTAGTTTAGTAGTTTACATCAATATCAAACGCTAAACGAAACTATCGTAAAATATAATAGATAATGCCAATATTTGACAGCACGACTGCGTCGGTTTTTATTTATGGGCGGTTCACGCGGCCTACATCTGTATCTAAATGCTAACACATACAGTCGATTATACCATAAGCTTTTTAAAAAAATCCAGTTGAGATGCTGATGAGTTTAGGTTCCTAAATTTAATAGCATATTTATGTACGTATAAACTGAAACGTATTGGAATAGCAAAACCAAACGAAAGAAGGATAATTTTGTTTGAGGTTTCTACGTAAGTTTTGCAATAAAGCTGTCCAACGACATATGATTCTATAATAATATCTAAAATATATTTTAAATAATTCATAGATCACAATAAGCTATTATGTTTTAGTATATATAATTATTTACTATAAAACCATTATTTTGATATCTTTTCTGGTGCTATATATAATTATATATAGAACCCTTTGCAAAAGATATAAGTAACAAAACAACTTATAACCTGTAAATTATAAGTAACTTTAATATAAAATTATTTTGTTTTAATTGAAAAAATTTAGTTTATACAATATAATATAAGTTTATAGAATATAATTAATTATTATTCATTATTATATAAAATAAATACAACAAAATATTGTTCATTGCGTTTCCTCATTTTGGCGCCAATACATTGTACAATAATTTGCGATCTTAAAAAGGAGTGAGGTGATAAAGAGAACCGAATCGCTGCGATTGTATTACACAAAGTAGGTCTGGAGCCAAATGCAATTTTCAAAGCTTGGCATTAGTAAAATATTGTGTACCGGGCTATTAATAGGTACAAAGAGACCTCCTTTGTCTGTGACAGAAAAAGATCTGGCCGTCCACGTAGTTTTCGTACGAAAAAGGTGGTCAAAGCAGGAAGGGAAAGATTTCGAAGAAATCCTGTCGGAAAGTAAAAGATTTTATCTCGGGAGATGAAGATACCACGTGTAGCATGTCGCTATTTTAAAATATGACTTAGGACTTGTAGCCTATAAGAGACGTACTGGTAATTTCTTAACTGATAATTTAAAAAAGAAATGGTTGTTAAAATCCAAACAACTACTGAAGCGGTACGTAAAGGGAGGTCACAGAAAAATTTTGTTTACGGTTGAGATTTTTTTTACAATCGAGCAAAATTTTAACAGACAAAATGACCGTATTTATGTTCAAAGCTCTAAGGTAGCTTCTTATTAGTCGACAGAGTGCAACGTAGGCACTATCCGACTTCAGTGATGGTTCGTTGGGTGTTAGCTATACTCGTTCATAGCTGTCTGAGCCATAATTTTGTGAAAACGGTATTAAAACATCGGCACAAGTGTATCAAGATACCATTCATGAGAATGTAGTGAAGTCCCTTAACAACGTCATGTTCAATAACCAAGAACGGTCCTTCCAGCAAGACACGGCGCCGGTCATAAAGCTCGGTCTACGCAGTCTTGATTGGAAACGAACATTTCGGACTTCATCAGAGCTGAAGACTGGCCGTCGTCTAGTCCCGATCTTAATCCGCTGGATTATTATTTATGGTCGCTCTAAGCTTGCTCTAAACGCCATTATAATTTGGAGTCCCTAAAACAATCCGTACGATTGGCAGTGAAGAATTTTCCCATGGAAAGAGTGCGTGCTTCTATTGATAACTGGCCTCAACGTTTAAAGGACTGTATTGCAGCCAATGGAGACCACTTCGTATAAGCTTTTTACAGTTTAAATTGTTTTATATTTATGTATTAAACTAACACACTGTACAAAAGTAATAAATGTTATTTGCAATAGAAAAATTTTTTTTTGTTTGTTTAAGTATTTGTGGCAAGACTAGGTACATGTTTATACTCAATTGAACATTGTCTGAAGATTTTTTTTTCTATCTTGATAACGTCTATAAGAATAAATACTAGTAATAGAATATTTTTAAATGCATTGTTATTTACACATTATCAATGTGAAAAATACCTATGTTTTTAAAGAAACAAAACAGCAGAGTAGATAATACAACTCATGAAAATAATAAGGAAGATTTTATTTATGCTAAATACTATACAACATTCTTATTTATTGAAGAGCCGGTAGCCAAGACACCAATTTAGCTAATAAAAGGAATTCTTTTCACCTGTAGTACCTTAAAACTTGAAATTTAATCTCATCACGGCTGTGCACCAGTGGAATTTTAATATAAAGTCACTGCTCGTAGATTAAAATATCGTGAGGAAACTGGCATGCCTTAGACCCAAAAATAGACGGCGTGTAAAGCTTTTTGCCTAAAAGCTTTATATGCCTGACGAAAAAAATAATAATAAAACGAAACGAATTTTGAGACTAATACCAATGGTTGCAGCGCCAATATTCTTTTATTTATTGACTTATTACATCGAAAATATCTAAAAGAACATGACAATTTTATTTATTGGTCGCAGATTACACCCGTTTCTTGATAATTTTATTGACAAGCTGATCACCTAGATCAGCCTACATCTGATCACATGTCACAGATTTTCAGGTCTTAATTGTACATAGAATGGGAAATCTATTGGTGAACAACCGTGATTCGAACGCACGACCTCAGGGTCGAGTATCGCTTAATCCACTAGTGGCCTAGGCTCTTTTATACATTAATAGTGATATAAAAACGCAAATAAAGCGCATATGTGAAACGTTTTACGCGAAAAATGTAAAGTGCAATGCCTACGAATAATCGATTCGATTTAGATACTGTTCAGTCGTGATTCACCTTGATCTACTATGTGTTTGAATTATTCTCACTATAATGTAAGTGCGTGCTTCTAGTTTAAAGGCTTAACTTTTGTTTTCTTTAAATATATATTTAATATTATCACGTGAACCGTAGTGCAATGGTTCCCGCGCCTATTACTCTACACCTTCAATTTGAGAACTGGCAGAAATGTAAATTTAGAAAATTTTTACTTATTTTTATTTAACAATTTATTGTTATTATTATTACAAACCACATCTTTTAAAAAAAATATATTTATTATTTTTAATTTTAAAACTAAACAATATAGTCAATACGGATTACACCATATACATCGCTCCCTGTCCTGTGCCACCTTCCGCCAATCGCTGGGTTTCAGCTGCATCAGGTCTTCCTCCACTCGCTGGCAGTTTCTCGTTTCGAAGACCAAGACACTTTTTGAGTCGCAGTGCCAGTGAGTGGATTTACAGTGGTCCTGTTGTGATTTCTTAAATATCTCTTGACAATGTCTGCTGTTTGCACAATGCGAATGGGAATATCGGTAGCAGATATCTATTTTTTATGAGATTATATACGACATATTAGTTGATGAATATATAGTTTTATTTGATTATTTCATTTTCGTAAAAAAAGAACTAGAGAAGCTAAAAAAAGATTATTTATCGTTCGTTTAAATGATTTATTTTCTGATATTAATACATATTTGCAATTATGTACATAAATATTCGTATTAACACTATTGCGATAACGTTTGTTGAATTCATATTTAAGCTCTTTATAAAGGATAGAACGGAATATATTTCAATTCACTAATACATCAAAAGACAATTCAATAAACATTTACCAATTCATATAATATTCGGGTTGATTCATTAGTGAGAAATAGTCTTTAGCCAGAAATTGTTAAATGAATTTACCGTTTTCAGAGTAAATCTAAATGGTAACTCCAATGCGCCTCAAAGTGAAATCGACAAATTGAATGCAAACAAAAAGACTGGCTTAAATGCAGGAGTTAAAAGCCATACTTTTTACTCGAGTCCCTCCTTCAAAATCACCTATGCAATAAAACTCTTAATTGATTAAGAGAAGCTAGTAGTAGTAGAATTAGCTTATATTATATCATCTCAAATTAAAAAATTTTATGATATTTTATTAAGGAGGAAAAGCTTAGTTATATCACTCATATATAATATTTTATTTGCGTTTCTTCGTTGGATATATTTAAACTCCTGCAAATACTCGGAAGTTTTAAATTAGAATGCTAATTTAACATTCGAATATAAAAAGATATGGAGTACATAAAACGTCATCTTAAATTATAATATATTTTTATAAATTAATTTAATCGAAATTGAACATATAATGTAAACCATTCGCAATTACATTTCTGATACATTTAACCAAAACAATTGCCTGTGATAACTCTCTATTCAGATACAATTGTGTGTGTAGTATATTGAAATTACTGTGATTGCATCCGCTGTCTAATCAATCAGCTTACTACACTATACCTAGAATTCATATACATATATTGTGTAAGCCTGGCTTGTACACTATTAACCCCGCCTGCGGGTTGGCTTTTGTAATATTTAAACGACATACACAAGGTAGTCAGTGCCTTCTTTTTTTATTAAACAGTACTGGACAGTTTGACTAAAGTGAGATGTGGCCTATAGGAGAGTCTATCCAGGAGTTGCATGTTTAGCAGCCACTTATACCCATATTATACTGTCTAGGGAAGATTGACGGGGGCAAAGAGGTCCACTCCTTTGCTGTTTTTAAAAGAAACGACGAACCAAATCGTGCAGTGCGGCACATGAGAATGTTGACCACGAAGGTGAAACTGCAGCGTGCTTCTAGATTAGCGTCGTCTTTTTTTATAGAACAGGGGGCAAACGGGCAGGAGGCTCACCTGTGATAAGTGATGCCGCCGCTTATGGACACTCTTAATGGCAGAGGGCTCGCAAGTGCGTTGCCGGCCTTTTAAGAATTGGTACGCTCTTTTCTTGAAGGACCACAGTGGTGGTGCGCGGCAAAAACTGCCTTGAAAAACGCTCGTTGTAGAACGGCAGACGTCAAGGTGGTACGGGTGGAATTTCGTATTCTGCCTCGACGTCCGATGATGAAATTTGAAAGAGGAAGTTTAGTTCCATGGAGCATTCTGTAAAGTTTAATCTATAGGCAAAGTGAGTGACCATGGGCGGCCCTATTTAAAATTGTAATTAGTTATCACGTGCGCCCTATTCTGTAAAAAGTACACATCGTCTCCACTATCGAGGCCACTAGTTTTAGTTCATGCTCCTTTTTGTGATAATGGCGCGGCTTTAAATAAATAAAAAGGAAGAAGAAGATTATTAATAATTGTTCAACATTTTCAATATTAAAAACTTACAAAGGTGATAGACGTCGATTTAATATGAAGACTTTCCTAACTATTACTGTTTCCTTTTTTCCTTAAATAATGGTGAAACCTTTCAACCAACCGAGGACCGAAAGCAAAACGAGTAATTTTCATACCGTAGTTAAGTAATGAATTTATTATTCTCAAGGTAAAATTGTGATTCCTACCCTGTGACCGGATTTTTTTACCGCTAACCGTATTTAAAGTAATACACGAATCACCTCACGATGTTTTCCTTCACCGTTCGTGCAAATGTTAAATGCGCACATAGAAAGAAAGTCCATTGGTGCACAGCCGGGGATCGAACCAACGACGTCAGGTATGAGAGTCACACGGTAAAGCCACTAGGCTAACACTGCACTTGTATGTACATAGTGAGCAATATACATACATATAATAGACTTACTATTGAAAAGAAAGAAATATGCCCTGTCCTATCCTGGCTTCGATTCAAGGTAAAACAATAGTTGTGTTAATTAGCCAAAAAATTAACTTTAAATCTGACGCCATCACCCATAAGCCTTATCAAGAAACATAATATGTACCAAAGCCACATAGCCACCCAATAGAGTACGACAGATACATCTCGTAAGCTTACGGAAATCGAACTTGGAATATAGGCCAGGTATTAGAGATTAGTATGCCCCGGAGACATTAATTTTGCATTTCTGTAACACTTTTGCAGTGCTATTTTCATTGGAAACGCCCTAGTTTATCCATACGCTTCTAAACGACATATATTCCTTGAACAATGTACGACGCTTTTTAATATAAAAATAACTAATAAGTTTCCAATTAGTAAATTTAAATCAACACGTATCGCATAATACATACTAATGCGATTGCTAATCAATATCAATTTCACTACAATTCCCAGAACGTACTCTTCCTATATACGCATTATTAAACACGCACTAAGTGTAATTCATAATTTTGTAAATGGTGAATAATTAAAATACAAAAGAATTTTAATTCCTTAACTATTACATACAAATTAAAATTATTTATAAAAATGTAACCAATATTTTTTTATTAAAACTAATCGCAAAATATTGCTAACCGCAAATCTCGAAAACGGCTAGACCAATTCGAGTATTTTTTTTAATATTTATTTCTTGAACTCTGAGGAAGGTTTTTATAGACAGAAATATTGTTAAATTAAAAAAACTAAAATAGTTTTATTTGTAGATAGGATTTTATTTCGGAAAAGCGAACAGTCTCTATGCGGTAGCATAGCATAATGTCACATATTTTTTTAAGTTTTTTAAGATATTATGTATGAGCTTCATTTTTACCTGGCGCCACGAGGAATATATGGCGTTGGAATGGATGGATGGAACTTACCCGGCTTCTGAATACCAGGAAGTCGTGATAGTTCCTATATATAATCGGTAGATTCCCATATCCCATGTTTAACCAACGTACAAATTTACAATACGGATGTTCAAAAGGGTGCCTATAAACTAAGCATTTATAAAAACTGAATAAACGTTAACTTTATATATGAAAGGTTAACTTTTTTACAAAATACTCTTCTTATTTTCAAAATACTTTTTGCTAAACATAAAACTCTAAATACTTTAAGATTTTATTTCCATTATTTTTCGTAGAGCATATATGACAATGGAAGCAAAAAAAAACAAAAAGTTTAAAACATATCAGAATAACCCAATTTAAATTTTTCAATTTGGTAAAGACAATTACAAACGTTTATTCACGTGTCACAAATTACACGTGAATGATAAGGAAATATTCAAATTTATTTGAATATTATATACGTGTATGAATATGATAAACTATTTCAGTAAATAGTACTTAATATTTAATTCCTCTGTTCTTTTCATAAACTGTTTTGTTCGACTCCATTATTAAAAAGCGCTTTACAGTCAAACGTAGACATTTTCTTATTTTTTTTCCAAAGTATGCGAAACTCATGCAAAAAAGACTAAAATAAGAAGTCTTTCGCTATTATGTACTTGATATAAAATCAATATCGTTTTCTAGACAGCCCTGAAAAAGATGTTTCAAGCATCTCAAAGAGACTTCAAAGGTCGATCTAGGCATTCTACTTACAGGGCTCCGACAAGTAATTGAGTGTCATTTCTTGGTCTCTGACAATATACCTTTGACTAAACTGTCTTTTACGGTGGTACAATTGCCATCGTGCTTGTCATGAGAGAGGTTTGGTCGTTGTCTATTCAAACACGAAGAACTAATAAGTCAAAATCTTCACCCCGAAAATAAAAACGGCAACCATCCGAAAGTATTAAAGAATTTTCGCAACACATTTCAGTAAGTTCGTTTTTTTAAAACAAAATACGAGGAAAAATTTATCTGTAATCGGCTTAAATTCATTCTATAAATTATGTTGGACTGGTTACTGGAGCGAAAATGGCATTGTTGTTTTCAGCTCACAAATGAACTAAACTAAAAATATCATTCACCATTTCTCTCGTGATCATTTATTGTACGCTATTGTTTAAATTTTACTTTTAATTTAAGTTTCCCTTTGAGTTTGTGAAATAGAAAATACTTATGAATATTCCAGGTGGATATCACGATGATATGAAAACAACTGTAAAAAACTGACAACAACAGTTGTTTAGACACAACACATAATAGTTTGAACTGTCTAGTTCAATAAACAATTGTTCGAACACATTTAATTAAAAAATGATTAAAGTACTTAATATCTTTGACATGTAACATTGTTTTAGGAGTTAGCAAAAAGTAAACGGATTACGCTCTTGAACGTTTGCTTTGAAGCTTTCAATTAGTTTTAAAATGTTAGGACAAGCAGATCAATTTTCAAACCACGGCGTATAAATCCGTATTAAGTATATATTAATAGATTGCGTCTGTTACATACTTTATTTTTCTTTAAGCAAGTAGGTGTTTTTCCTTCTAGGCCTGACACACGATTTCCAGATCTATGACATGTCAATTTCCTCGGTTTATAACCATAGCATGTGTTGATTTGCGCAAATAGAAACTTAATCCATTGGTGCTCCGGAAATTAAATGCACTATCTCAAGTCCACGGTCGAGAGACCAACACTATTTTGACACCCCTGATAAGTCACCTTGCTTATATAACAATTATGTATCCTATAGCGTAAATAAATAAATTGAGTATGTTTTAGCGGCTACAACAGCGATGTTTTAAATATCTCTCCACGTAAAAAACATACTCTCCACACTCTATTATGCAGTGTAAGATATTCTAAAATTTGATCTTAATTTAATGTATTTTTGTGTTTTTTTTAATAAAACCCCCAGTTTTGCAGACACTGTGAGAAGACTCACTATAACATGGCCTTAAAGGAATCAGTACGCTGCGTTAACAAATTTAGTAATTCAAAAAAAATATATAAAAGATTTTATTTATTCGAAGTCGAATTTTGAAATGTACAAAAGATTTTTAATATGAGCATCAATGTGCTTTGTAAATTCTAAGATTTGTATTTTCTAAGAAGCCGTACACTATAGATTTACAAAAAACAGCGTAGAGGTTACACGGGTTCAAAGCAGACATAACAATGTTACGACTGGAGGTCACAGTAGAGTCGAGCAAAGGGTCGAAATCCCTTCAGTAGCCTCGCCCTCCGGGTATATCGAGTACGATGAAGCTTTAAGGTAAATATTACAACGCAATGGGTACTATAAATTATTGTAATTTAATTAATTATAATTTTCATATCGCTCGGATTTACATTCATATGTTACGTATTGACGCGCATTTTGAGTTAAGCTTTGTTTTTTATTAATACAATCTTCGACAAGCTTTTAACCAGTACTAACCGATCCCTCCCTTTACCGAACCCAATCCTTCATAACGTTTCTATTTCTTTAACTTTGTAATACAATAATAGTGGCTTTTATATAAAAATACTTTTCTTACACAGTTTTATGTACGTATATAACTATAATATAACTGACCTACAACATAATTTCTGCACCTTTTCCGCAATAATATTAATACCCTTTGATAGAGTATACTGTCGACACCAGCCTTGTGTGTTGTAGATAACTGATGCTTATTCAATATCAGGCGATGCAAAGTGGGATTAGTAGCAAAGCGATGCTCTCCCTACTTCGATCAATTATACTGTGACACAGTCGATACAATGTAGCTACAGTCGCATTCACTAACACCTGACCCGTACAAATGCAATTTTGTACCTCGGAATAGAAAAGGTATTTCGAATAATTTTCACGTCCAAGCCTTTGACACACACAACAAGTTTAACGATAAGGGTGGAATTTTGAACTCGTTTTCTCAGTCAGTTGAAATAAATAAATTATGATTTGTCGAGTTTATTTGCAATTTCTAGTGTGTTAATGCTGTTATCTTTGTTTTCAAATCAAAGGTACGTTTCCTTTGAAATTGCTATTTCTATTGTTTTCTTTTCCTTCAGATGACAAAAAAGTCTCATCCTCAGCCCGACTACTATATCTAACCATCAAAAAGTAATATGCTCTAAAAAGTAATACGGAATTTTTCCTAAAATCCCAACCTCTATTAATAAACGATGCACTCGAATAGATAATACTGCGAGAGAATTCGTTTTCCCTTATGAAAACAAACAGTGGACGTGGTTTTATTATTTTCCATACCATTTGCCGGATTTGTTTGAGCAACGGTCGAAGTGCAAAGAAACAGCGATCTTTTGAGCACTTGAATGTCACCACATGGAACCTTCAGAACTTGTAAAATAAAATAACATTATAGACATATATGTTCTAAGTCCATATGTCATGATTGCCATGCCGTAACAATTTTTTATTTCAGCGTGGTGCTACATGCACATCCGTGTTGGAGCCCTCGGTAGATACAGGCATATATATTTAAATGTTTCGAATGATTTTGGAAAAAAATTTACAGTCTTCTAGAATACACATAGAATACTTCTAGATCATATACCTGAAATGCGGCATTAAAAACACTCGGACTTGCCCTCAGGGCTGGTGCTTCATAACTCCGTTTTTGTACCACGCGATTCCAAGGTTACAGAATCACTACGTATGTAAAAATAACTATGTATATCGAAATTGTATATTGGAAATTTGAGCGTACCAGCCCAGATTTCTGTATCCATTACCTTGACCACTTTACAGTCAGTTTGGTATAATAGTCTGGTGACTATTGTGTCGAATTTAGGGACATTTTTAGCATGTATTCCCTCATCGTGTGCCACTAGACATTTCACACATAGACACAAAAATTGATAGATGAACATTGTGCAGCCAGTCCCAGGATAAATGGACTTTTATTCATTTGATTGATCAGCGCGTTCTACGAACCTTTTCAGCGTTATTAAAACATATATTTTTTACTTAAGATAATATTGGTATAAATTGTATTGAATGGAGACATATCGCAATTGTATTTACATTATCGTGTCATTTAAATACAATGTCAAGGGAAGTTAGAGGTTATCGTTTAACTACTAAATAATATTAATTGTTGGCAATTATTAGGTAAAGATTTCGCAAGAATTTCACTTTTAAAATTGAAACATACACTTTTGGTCATGTATATTTTATTCTATATCAACAGAAAACGTACTTGTCTAAATTAATACCGCAATCAGCACCGGTTGATATTTTGTAGGGAGAGATCCCAAGTTTGCGAAATTAACGCCTGGAAATTACAAGAACTTTATTGAAATTGCATAATAAACGCGATCGCTTTAGTTATAACATCACTATGAGCGAATTAACGCGGTTGAATGATGGGCCAATTTATTTAATAAAGTATGGATATATCGAAAAATTATTACATTTTACTTGCTCTCTTATAGGTACCAAAATCGAGTTTTGGATCAAACCCTTGATAAAATACGCATATACAAGGATAAGTGTGATACGAACGCAGAAATATTGATATGTCCCTAATTAAGTACAGAAATCCATTTTAGAAAGAATATTATATATTGTATATCTACTATATTTTTTGGAACAGGAGGCGAGCGGAAAACTGGTAGTACGTTTAGTATCTCTTGAAAGGCCCTAAGGCCCTTTCTCCACTGCTCCGGTCCGACGTCGGATACCGGAATGACTCATGAGAAAAATATCGGAAGGCCGGATTGCGCTTCTCCACTATATCCGATCCGACATTAATCGATACTTGTGTATTTATCATGCAACACTTATATTAACTAAAACCCATATACTTAATTTTATTAATAAAACGTTCTAAATTCTGAATATTTTATTGCCCTGGATTACTTTTTTTATATTGTCTATCTTGAAATATTATAATCTACTTAATAAATAGTTCACTAATACTATGGTATAAAAATATAATAAATAGCAACATAATTTGGTTTGGTCCAGGTTATCCAGATTCTTTCAAATTAAAGAAACTATAAATAAACCTGTGAACAATAATTTATAACCTCTTGGATA